TGTGACGATGTCGCGATCGCGCAAAGAATTTGCCCAAAAATGTGAACGAAAAAATAAAAATTGTGTCCAGCTCCGTCTCATCATCATCTGTGCGTCTGCAATTATTGACGATCACCTTCATTCTTGCGTATAAAGCTTCTGATCAAATAGATCGCAGTGGGGGATGTTAATGGATTTCGCCTCTTACATATTTTATTATTATGGCCACAGAAGAGGAAGATGAGAAAAAAAAGATCAAACATCGCGAGAGGTGTGTATTTGTGTGTCTTTCTCGTCTTGCCATTCGGAAATTAATTTGTTGAGGTGATCCTGAAGCAATTCGCCGTGGCGACACATCAACTCTCTGTGGTCAAATTGGGCTGCGGATGCGAGACAATATTAATTTATGGCAGAAAATCAATTAATAAATTCCATCTCTAAAGCGGCACAGGGTGATGGTGAAAAACTTGATCTGAGACGATCATGATCGGTGTGTATTGAGGTCGCAGGAGACGATCCGGGGTAAAAGTTAATTGCAATATTTCGTGGATGGACAAAAAGACACAATGTTATGTGGTCGAGCGCGAGAAGGAAAAGTACATAAGAGATGGTGGAGAAAGAGAGAAAAAATAATAAAAACAACAATAAAGCGTGTGTAACCCAATAAAAATGACTGCCGTGAGAGTTTTATAAGACGCACTCTCTTGAGAAGTCTCGCGCTTTTGTGTGTTTTTCTTGTAAATAATGGTGTGTTACAATCTCACAATGTATATATAAAAGATAGATTGTGAATGGGTGAGTGAAATACACAAGGCATTGGGTATTAAATACAACGCCAGCGGAATTATACACAAATTTTCACAAAACTTCCCATCTGATGAATTTTCATCGGGTTTTCACCAATTTATGATCACTTTTTCACCCAAATATCAGCTCAAGAACTTTGTTTATTCGTGAAAGATGGCATGGTGTGAAAATGGGTGGGGAAAAGTCCTGCCTAGAGGCCAAAAGGACACGAAAATGCAATCGGGTGTTTGATTTTTGTCTCCGATCGCAGAGTTGAAAACAAGTTGAGTGTGTGACGCAAAGCGTTTCATATGAATTTGAGTGACTGGGCAGCATCTCAATGAATGAATATGTCGTGAGTGTGTTTTTTAAGTCACTTCTTTCACGACAACTTTTCTCCCTTTGCCAGAGGAGACACACAACGTCCATTTTGGGGTCAAATCTTCCGCAATATTGATTCATGGCTCTTTTCCCTTGGCAGCCGTTGGACAGGCGTGATGAGGATCGCGAAAGGCAGAGTGTGCACAGAGGCATGATGGGAAAAATGATGGCGGAGGCGTTCTCAGAGGCAATTTTGTGGACAAAATAGGCGATTTGTGCCAATTTTTTCTCCTTCATCTCTCATGTTTTCTTGCGCAATTTTCCAAACGATCAATTGACTCTGTTTCGTTTTTTTTTTTCTTCTTCTTCTTCGGCATCATTGAACGCAGTGTTCTATTTTTCATTATATGGAGTGACATAAATGAGTTGTGCGCTCGTGGGACATAAAAGGAAGACAAATCATCCACATGTGCGATGTGGAACAATAAACAATTAAGAGTGACTCTCATGCATTGAAGGATTTTCACTTCCCCGTAAATGTCCACAGATTCTCAAGGGGGGGAAACTTATCGAGATCATATACAATGGATTCTATATAATACAGTGCCTTTCTTCCCTCACGTGCGAGTGGCCAACAATATTATGTTTACAATCTGTTGAGAAGCTGTTGCAAAAATCACTTTCACCCATTTCAATACCACAACAGATGATCATGGAAAAGTGCATATAAAGTGTGGGCAAATTGATTGAGATTACCTCACACATGCTTCTCCAGATGAGTTGAAGTGTGTGGCAAAAATTATGTTGAATAATAGTCACAACGATGAGGTGCATTTAATTAATCATCCCACCCACCGGATGATTAATGGGCAATAATTAATGGGATGCAAATCCATAAATGTCCAATTGATTTCTTGACCCCTTCTACACCTCCCACAAAGCGGTGATCTTGCGCGCTCTGTGATCGTGTCAGAGTGTCAGGAGTTGAGCGATGCTTATCACAATTGCACGCCCGTGATCTTTAACTATGTGTAGCGAGTTGTGAATTTTTGGAGGCAACACCAAATATAAATAGAGGAACGTGGTCGGGGAAAAAAAAAGTCGTGAAGGAGGGTTAACAAATGGGTACAGAGTTTATTGAGTCAGTTTCTGTGGTGCGAAGGAAAATAAGTGAAGAAAATTACCTCAAAAGTTTAAATATATAACAAGATGTTTTAAAATGAACGAGAATTTCATGAGTTGGTTGTTTGTTGAAGATGAAGAAAATTCATTCGCGCCTCCAAAAATAGACTCCCACAAGTCTCTACCGTTTTTTATGCCTCATTCCCTCTCTCTGATCGTCTCTTTCTCAATTTTCCCCGTGGTATAATTGTTCAGAATGCCTTTCTGAGAGCAATGGCTCAGAATTTCGGTTCACACCAAGCTCTCTTCTAGAGAACCAGAGAAAGAGAGACATCAATAAAAATTAATTTTCCATTCTATTGACAATATCGCCTTGTAGACACACAGTCGCACACATTTTCTTGAAACTGAATGGCATTTTTTTTTCTCTCTCATGCTTGAGATACAATTGAACTAAATCCATTTGTAATATAAATTTACATGTCACATTTGGGTGGGTTGAAATAATGGGAGGGAGAGATCGCTTGTGAGGAGAAGAGAGCGAATAGAGAGAAAAAAAATATCCATGGAAAGAAAACCATAAAAGATTTTCAATCATTTTATCTTCCCACTCGCGATATTGAAACTGCTTCGCCCCCTTCACGTCATTTCCTTCACATCTGGTTGGTATTAGAGACAGAGAGAGAGAAGAAAGCGAGATTTATCGGATGAGTGCAGTTCTTGAGATGAGGTTGAGAGTTACATTATGCGGAAGTGTGTAAGAATTGAAGGGTTCATTTTCTGAGTGTACTTTTGGTAATGAAGATAATATTTTGGAGCACCTTTTGGCTTCCTAGCCACTTATTCACGGTGATTTCATTGGAAGTGGAAAACCTTGCTATATGTGGGATGATGAGGAATTTCAAGGAAGTTGACTTCATCTAATAATTTCACGATTAAACTGTGGGTTTGGCTACTATTCTGCTCATATAAATTAGAATGTTGGCTCGTCTATTAGCTCAACTTTCTTTAGAATCATAATTTTTGCACTTTCCTATTCACTTATTCACACTGAGATGCAATTTATCACGCTTCTGTGAGGGACGACATAATGTAGAGATACATAGAGAGATGTTGCAGTAAAAAACGATGAGATCGCTCGAAGAGAGCGAATGACACAAAAATCAAGCGATTGTGCAGGGAAGGGAAATGAAAAGTGGAGGAAAAAATTTGTTATTAAGTGAAATCTATGCCCATAAAGGTGTGTCTTCATTGTCTCTAATCCCCATTGTGAGTAGATTTGTGTGTGAGAAGGTTGAATTAATGAGAAATCACTCAACCTTATCATACTGTTTGTGTTCTCATGTTCGCCCATTTTGGGGGTCCCTCTCTCACTGTCATGATTAGAATATTTTAGTGTGATGGAATTTTTGTGGTATAAGTATAAAATTCTCAACTGCCCACGGATGCATTTTCAGCAGGGAAATGTGAATTATTCAGAGGGTCGACAAGTGTGAGATTCCAACGACAATTGAGGCTGAGATGAGCCAGGAGACAGCAGGTATTTTAATTTGTTCCGCAATGTGTGTGTGTATGTATTTTCTCTCAACGCCAACCAAATCGAGGGAAAAGATCATCTCCGAAGACTTTTCGTCTCATTGTTTGGCCAGTTCGACTCTCTTGTAATAATCTTTCTTGGGGTATTGTTTAATGATTTCTCTCTCTCTTTTTCACGCTACTTTTTACACCTTCATCACCGTGTCAGTCATAATATTCTCAAGATGTGGCAATTTCGCTAGGGTATTAATAGTTGGGTGGAAACAATGGAATTGGGTCTGGTTTCCATTTCCCTACTTGTTTCTGTCGGCCCCCTTCTGGCCTTCTCATTAGGGCCTCTTAGAAATATCTATTGAATTTTCATTGAGGGTTTTCCCATCTGTGGTGGCGGTCAGAAGAAACCTCAAGTGAAGATGGACTTTTTTGGGTGTCCATCGAGAGGTGCTCTTGCTTCATTGGAAGAATAATGCGCGAAAGGTTGTGATTTAATAAAATGTAGGTACTTGTGCAGGTCTCTTTTTTTTCCATCTCATCATTGTGTAAAGACACTGAAAATTGAAGTGGCTTATAAACCACTTTCTCGCCATATATGCCAAGTTACTTTGGCCAAAATTGTATTTTTCTTTCACCTCCGAAGCACTGAGAGACGATTTACTGAGGAGACACACAATTTTTCTTGCTCTCTCGTCAATGCGTGTTAAATTAATTCAGACAAATTCCCTGTGCAGTGCAATAAATGATGAATATAGACAAATGACTATTTGGTCACTAATCTAATAGTGACTGGAATACTTAATTGAGACAGAAAAGGAGGTTCAAAGTGGAAAGATAGAAAGAGAGAGAGAGAGAGAGAGAGAGAGAAACAGTGAGAAATAAGAAAAAAAAATGACGTATTCGTGATTTTCGTAGAGTTGTCGCTGTGTACACAATGAGCTCATATTATTGCTTTTTGAAGCTTCAAATAATTTAAATTTTCTCCAATATGCGTGGCCCCCAAAGCATATGAGCGGGAGACGGAGCGCTTTTTTACACAAGGAGAGCAAACATTGGGGTTTTTTCTTCACATCTTATATAATTTACTCAAAACAATTCTTACATAGAGAACTCCCCGATGTAGGAGTTAGTAGAAGAATGAACAATTTTTCGGGTGAAAAAGCGTCTTTATGTTCCTCTCTTGTGTGCCTGTGCTTCACCCTCAAAATGATGTGCAATTGAATTAATATAATGTGACTAAAATGTCTTGTATTGTTTTGCAGAAATTGCTAAAGTCAGAGCGTCACTGTTTCAAATCAACGGCGTGAAGAAGGAACCTTTAGAACTTCCTGAAGCCGATGGACCACCATTGACACTGAATGAGAAAGTGTATGTGCCAGTCAAAGAGCATCCAGATGTGAGTATAAACTCCTTTTTTATGCCCAATTTAACTTGGACAATCCTTGTCAATTCTCAGTTTCCTGATTGGGAATTGAAATGGTGCTAATCAGTGTGGATTCGATGATGAGATGGAATCCACAAATATTTCTCTAACAGAGAGTGAGTCAGGGAGGAAATTTTCGTGGACGTTGAGAGTTGTATATTGGAGTGTGTGTATGTGTTAAATCTGTTTAAATGCTATTTTGAGATATTGACTGAAATAGAAACCATACGGTTTTCTCATTATACACACTGTTATTTCACACACAGAGAGAGATCCTGAAAAAGAAGTATAATAAAAAGAAATCTTTCTTGCTCACACGACGATAATGTAGAAAAAGTGAGATGCCGAGAAAGAAAATACATTAGGAAATTTTCTTCAGTCTTATGTGCCCATCAAACTCTTGCCATCAAGAGGGAAAGGGAGATGGAGGTTCTGTGTCCAATTTAACATAAATTTTGATGTGTTTTAATGAAATTATTATCGATATGATGAGTGAATATGGAATACGAGTGTGCATTCCGAGAATTACCAGTTGCTGTAGTCAAATAACATGGGAAATGTCTTGTTTGAATTTCTTGCAAACATTGCTTGCTCATGTATATATATATGTGGAGAAAAGTGTGTTTTCTTCCATCTCATGATGCATCTGGTTTTATGCTTTTCTCTCCCCTTCGCGCGATGCCCATGGAGTTAGAGCAGAAAGTGGATTAAACAACACACCCACAGGGTGAGAATGAAATTGATAAATCAGTAAAGTCGAGATTAATCCATTTCTTCGCAATTGAAAAAGCACAAATTGTGTATGTGCGCGTTGAGATGAAATGGTTGAATGCTTGAGAAGCTGACTAATAAAATAGAACGTCTTTCTGTGTTGAAATATGTTCACGAGATTGATGATGGAGAAATTGGGGAGAAGATCAAGAGGATGAAAAGTGAAGAAAAAAAAAATTGGACGATTAGAGTCCGGAAATGGGGGGTTTCTGAATCTCTCTGATGAGCACGATCGTGGCGGGTATCTTGGCAATTTTCCGGCTACTTGTGTGTGAGGTGAACGGAGAGGACGATTGAGCAAAAAACCGTCCACTATCATCAACTTTTGACTCATTTTTCACGCAACGTGACACATTTGCGGACGACGAGAGGCTGCAAGAGATGTGAGATATTTTTCATTAAACAATCTATATGAAAAAATAATTTATGCTCTTCCATATCATAAATTAGTGCCACTTTTATGATTGCTCGGACGGGATTTTGATGGAAATTCGGGTGGAAATTGAAAGCATACGCGTCTCAGGGAGGAAGAGAGAAGGAGAGTATACGTTGTGATGTTTATAGGGCGCCAAAGTGAAGGCATGATTTGTTTTCACATCATATTTGAGTAAAACTTCTTTTTTACCGCCCATGCCTCTCAAAAATTATACCAAAGAGATGACAAATTTATACGGTAAAAGATGTGTGATGGAAAAAATAGAAATTTTTGGCGCGTGTTTCAGACTTTTTGCTGTTTACTCAACTCTACGGCATCATCACTAATTAACTTACTCGGTTTTTGTCCTTCTTGGAACAATCTTTTTCTTGTTCAACAGTCTTTTTTACTCAGAGTTTCACCCTCGCTCGCAAGAATTTTTGTGTATTTTAGGCGTTCAATAGTGAATGGAGAAAAAAAAAATTTTCCTGACAATTTCGTGGCCGCTTTTATTGTCTTCTCGTGTTAGAGACACGCAGAGACAGAGAGAGAGAGCTCTCAAAATTGTCTGGTATGCTGTAGGAATCTCCGGAGAATGAATTTGTGTGACTAGCGCGTAATTTCTCTAAATTAAATAACGCTTGCTGGCCATCTATTTGTTCAATTTCATCATTTTTCACTATTATGTCTATTAAGTATGGACGTTTTTACAAGCTTGCTCTTTTTTCCTTGTTTTTCATCTTCTTGCAATCATCTCTGTGCGCCTCTCCCATCCGCTAATCCTCGCCTAGAGTCGTACGCGCAGATCTGTGAGCACTTGGAGTGCTCACAAGACCCATATGGGAAAAGAGTCAAGTAACAATAAACGAGTCTTGATGGTGTGTACAAAAGGAATGTGAGTTTTACGTAATAAATGAAACAGCTTTGCTGGAAAAATGGCCAAATGGAGTAAAGGCGAGATGTGTTGAGGGGAAAAGAGGGTGTTTTCTCAATGGAAAAGTCTAGTTTTCATCTCATCAATGACGAATATTGATCGAGAAAGAGGGACGGTTTTTATTACTCACAGCGCATGATCAATAGAATTTCTAAAGAATTACCTCGTTAACAGTGGTTGTTGAATAAGAAAATTCTAACAATTGTCAGTTAATTGGATCACAGACGAAATTTCACGGTTGATATTTGAATTAAGAAGCAAGAGATCATGGTTTGATTGGTTAGATAAAATATATCTGGGGATATAAAGACAATACCAATCTCTCAAATGTATTTGATGAATTTTAATTCTCTTCCCGCTAATTAATATTAACGACTCGACTAATTGCAAATGATTGTCTTGCCTTTGCTGTAACCAACAAATTTTTATCCTCCTTGCCGTGTGACATCCATTGATAATTGGATGGGAAAACCTTGAAATACTGATCTTATTCGCCAAACACCAAAGGCATTTTCCACGGGAGGAAATATCTCGTCAGAAATTTCCGTGATTTTTTCTCCGCACCACGTCAAATTCCACAAGATTATTCACTCTTGCAAGTTGGTAATTTCTACCAATTTGTCTCCCTGTGCCTCGAGTTGCTAGAGAGACAGAGAGGCCAAGTGTTTTGAGAAACAGGATTTTTCTCGATATTTATGTAATGTGTTTAGTATTAAGTCGCTGGTAGGAACGTGTTATCTTACAGAATTTCTTTTCTTTCCACTATTTGCACTTCTGTTTGAGCCTCTGGTCAGAGTTAAAGGAAATATAGAAGAGATATTTTTTTTTGGAACACTTATGAGAAATTTCGTGCTAATTTGAATCATAATGTACACTCATCATAAAATTTCGATAAGAATTGTATTCACCCAAGAATCTGAAATTTCTGATTATTTGAACTATCTTTCTTATCTACTTATTTGACGGTTTTTGCCTTCCAACTCTGATGTTCAGAAGCGTTTCTTCGTGTCTTTCACAGTGTCATTCTGTACACTTGTTCGCTTTATCATTAATATCAGCCAAAGAAAATGTATATAACACCTTCAAGTAGCACATTCACAATGTTGGCAGTGTGATAAATCCAAACAGCAAATATGACAATCGTCTTTTTACGATCATTCTCTGCGATTGTGCGGTATTTGAGGAAGGAGGTGCTTCTCCATTTGCCCAGGGGCAACCAGAAGAAGTGACAACAATGCCAATTGATTGCCTACCCAATTTATAATTTGATTTCAAGCAAGAATACCTCTTTAGTGCGATAAAATACGATTCGTTGTCCATTTGGTGTGATATTTAAAGTGTAAATATTATGTGATATATTCTCAAGAATGGGGCGAAATATGAGTAAGTGAATGTTGACTTTTTTCCACGGAAATTCGATAGTTTGATTGGGTTGGGGAGAAGGTAAGCAAATGATCTTCAGTGTGATCTTTATGATGAATACACCAACCCATATGTTCTGCTATTATTGTTGCATTAATAATATGAAATTGTAACTTATTATTTGCAATTTTATATGCAATATTCTCTTCCAACATCGTATGACTAATATTGATGTAATGAGAATTCTTTGCATCTACAATTGTAGTGGAGTGAGATTTATAAATAAAACTTGTTGAAGGGAGAAGTTCGTGTGGGGGAGAGGAGGTGTGATCATGATCGAGAAATACATTTCATTGTATTAGATAGTACCTAATAGCTTTTTTTTGCATCGGCATGGGAGAGGAAAAAAGCCACACCCGCCACACACCATTTCCGATTGAACAAATATTCAGTTGGCAATTTTCCATCAATTATCTGGGGATGGAAATGAAAGAGACGCACATAAAAAAATATACACGATCGAATTATCATTCAGCACACATCGACATACACAATTGAGACATTTTGATGTAAAAATGTTGTGATTTTAGACGGAGAGAACCTCAATGAGACTTTTATATGTCGTTAATTTGCATTTTATGACGCGTCCTCAATCAAATCCCTCTCCTATGACTATGTGGCTCTGTGAGATTTTCTCGGCGCATATTTTTCTTAGCATTTCTTTCATTCAGCTTGCTTTTTCTGCTTGGGAAATTCCCTTAAGACATTTGTGACCTCTCACGTTGTTTTTATATATCTCAAATTGATTGATGGAGAAAATCTCTGGTGTGTATGAAATATGAGAAATTTCCACGAGTCGTCGCCGAGAGGCCACGTGTAATTGTGCAATCAGCAGGATAAAGATATTGGCAGCAAACTATTGTCGGTGATCATTACCACAAAGGGTGATCATCGCCAGGCAATGTGTGACCCATGCTGGGGAAATGGTCAGTTGGATGGCTGGATGGGACGGAAGTGTGTGCAAAATGTTGCAATGCTATTAAATAATTTTTACCGTCGAAAGAGAAATGATCTGTTTGAGAGCGAAATGATCTTCACGGAAACACGATCTCTCAATCATTGTAGTGCGATGTTGGTAGATGATGAAGATGATCGCAAAAGTAGCTAATGGGGAAGTTTGCGATGTTGAGCGAAGAGCACGATTGCTGTGAACCACCCACACAGAAGATCACGAGGCAAAAAAGGTAGATCATTTAGGGAATAATAATAAGATTGTAAAGAAAACACTTACATTCTATTAAATCACGGCACTTTTTGTGTTTTGTTTACTGCGGTCATGCAGAGAGTCTCGTCCCTAGTGCGGTATTTCTTGGGATTTGCCCGGCCACAGCGATTATGGAGATTGAAGAGTTTTGTGGTGAGATATCGCGTTGGGAATGGATGTGGATTAATATGGGAAAAAGATCCCCATAGAGTGCAATTTAATAAATAATTTAATGAAGTCTATTCATTGTGGAAAATATTCTAATTATTTTCAATGGATACTATCATAAATGACGGTCTTTATTCTCATTTTCTCCTCTCTCCGCCCATCTGTCCGTTAGAGGCTTCTTTGTGCCCAGAATGCTGTCCGAGCTAATAAAGTTCAGTGGTGTGGAGATCATTTCCATTTATGAGCATCACTGCAATGAGTGGTTGTTCTAATGCACGAGTGGATGTTAATAAAAAAGGAACATATTGCATGTTAATGAGAGGAGGGACAATGATTTGTTTTATATGTTGACATGGTATTAAATTGTGGCTCATCGGTGTTGTTTGATCATATTAAAAGGCCTCCTTGCCATGGGAGACTTCTCATCGTATTGTATTGTGCTTCTCAAGAGGGAGATGGAGTGAATAAAATCAATTGAATAACTATTTATATTGTCTGGCTATAATAACTTAATTGTTACTCTTGATCATGAGTGATTGATTATTGAACTAGACAAAGAGAGAGAGAGAGAGAGAGAGAGATGCGATTATGGAAGTTTAGTTGTGTTTTTCTGTAGCGCATGTCAGGGAGGGCAAAGTCTTTAGAGATCTCATGTGTGAATGATTATGAAGAGATCACTTCTCAAGCCAACAACTGTTGACGAAAAATTTCATCAATATTGACAAAATGACGTGGTTTTGCTGATGATATTCATGTGCCCACACCCTCAGCTTAAAACACCTCTAAATATGAGCAACAATGCAACTGAATGAGCGATAATCGCACACGATCGCAAATACTTTTCCAGTGTGCTAAAAGATCGCGGTCAACATGAAAGAAAAATATTTAATGACATACATTGTACATTAGGAAAATTGCATTAGAGTGAGATAATGGGGCGGAGAAGTGATTTTCATAGGCGGTGGGTGGGAAATATGCTGTTGAGACATTGTGTTCCACAAATGACGCACTTCTTGAGTGGTGCACTCAAGAAGCCACACAGAATGATTAAAGACTCCACCTAATGATTATCTCAACTGACATTTTCGTCGAGTGTGGGTGTAATTTTTATTATAGTTCTCCCATAAACACCTTCATTCTATGGCCATTATTTTGCTGTGAGAGACGAGATCACAATGAATGAGTTGTCTCTTTTGGGGTGAACAAGGTGCAAAAATGTGAAGTGAATACGTTAAGAATGAGACACACTCTGTGTGAGATAAGAAAAATGTGGATTTCCTCAATTGATTCCCATTTGTTGCGACCTTCTGAAATATGTTTTTCAACCTGCTGCCCACCTCTCAGTATTTTTTTTCTTCACTCTCTCACCGACTGTGATCTCGAAAAATCACAAGAGAGACACGTATATTGAGATACACAAAGGAGTGAATGAGAAAAAATGTGTTATGCGTGGTTATTGCATTGAAAAAAGAGCCTCAAAGTATTCAAATTAAATGGCTGCGGGTTTTGTGAAAAGAGTGATTAAAGATGATGAAGAGGTAGGTGATTGTAAAGGTAGCGGAGTAGGAGGACAAGATCGTTACGTGGGGAGAATGAATGGAGGCAAAGATTGCGCGTAATTCATTCATTAAATAATAAAAAGGCAACACCTCAAAGTGGAGGTAATTTTTATTACAATCTTTTGACTGTATATTTGTTGTATATTTGTGTCACCAGTGAGCGTTTGAAAACAATTTGTATATGCCATATATTAGGTATATTTCTCTTTAGTCAGCAAAATGTGCAAATGCATGGCGTGAATGCGTGTGGAAGGGGCACGAGGACAGGGTGTAAATGCATGTTAGGAGAGATGAGGCAGGAAGGAACGCCTCTCTAAAACTCTTACACAGTGTTTCGATGATTTTGTGAAGCTGTGGCCCTGATGTGACACACTTTTATTCCATCACTCCCTCATTTGCACGTTTAAATTCTCTCTTTTGCTCTCGTGCTACTCATTTGAATAAATATCTCTATATATATATAGTGAACGAAATAATTACATATCCAGCGTGTATTTTTTCTTTACAAACACCAACTTCAACAATGAGATAATTCAATTATTCACTCCAGTGCAGCACAAATAAACACCTTTTTTTGTTGAGAACGTACAAATCCTCTAATGCTAATGGACACAGAGCTCTTTGAATTCTCAACTCTTCTCTTATATTCTTTGTTTTTTTTTGCTGGCAGCATTTAAATTTTTGAGATCTCAATCAAATTACTTTGCATTTACGAATGGGCCAGGCACTTCGAAAAGGCTATCTCGGCAGATATCTGTGGTGATTGTTGTGGAATAAGAGCACAGTTGAGAGATGACTCTCGCAATTGACAGTATAAATTTAATTTTGAAGAAAAAGAAAGCACTTTTTTCCGAAGTTACTCTAACATTTCCTGTGTTATTTTTGTGTCTTTGCAGTTCAACTTTGTGGGACGAATCCTGGGACCACGTGGCATGACGGCGAAACAGCTGGAACAGGAGACGGGATGCAAAATTATGGTCAGAGGAAAGGGCTCCATGAGGGACAAGAAGAAGGTGAGTGACACGCAGTTCAGTCAACCTCGTGTGAGAAAAATCGGAGGGGGGAATTTGTCGAGACGGTGGTGTGAAAAGGGTGGTGGAGAGATGAGTCTCTTTTTGACTGCAGAGGTGATTTGTTGCTGTGTGAGATTTAATTCTGACATGGGTGTTGTATTAAACAAAAATAGCATCTCGCAGCCATATGTTGTTATCTGCGGTGGACTGAGAAGATGTGAGTGTGAGAGATGAAGATGATTCTCCACCCGCCTTGCTCCTCAACAATGTATATAATCTCATCTGGTGGTGTCTATTTCACATCGTGATGATGATCGCAGCGTTCGAGATCTCGCTGTCGCGTGTATTTTGTGTGAAAGTGTGAGTGATTTTAGTAGAGTGTTGATTTGGTTTTGATGAAAATTCTAGACAGTGCGAGTCAAGGTAGTCGATTCTTGCAATCAAAGTGCTTTATCAGCTGAACATTGACCCAATTGGACATGAAAACTAATTAGATATTCAGCGTGGAAACTTTTACCATACAGCCTTATCTCGGGTGAAGAGACAAGAAATTGACCGTCGCAAGAAGGTCAGATTTTTGCATCAAGAGAAACGATCCGAGAAGAGATTAATGAGTCATTAGTTCATCTTATCAGATGCTCATTTTATCTGTATTGATCCTCAATCCATGGGTTAGTCAACTCTCTTTCTCCCTATCTCCATTGGCATGTATTGGTGGCTGTGAATTTCAGGATTATCCTCGCAGAAGAGCACAGGAGAAAAGTCAAAAATTATCTCTATGACTTGTGAATGTTTGTTCTCTGGGGCGATAGAGAAAAAGAGAGTGTTCGGAGGAAGGAGGATTCTATTTATAAACATTTTTACAACTTTGTACGATATGAAGAGAGATAGAGTTGGTGGAAATTGTAATCTTTTCACTCTTTCTCACCCATTTTGCCTGAGGGAAATCTCCTTTGGGGCCGCATGGTGTTTGTTTATACAGAGGAAAAAAAGCATCTTGACTCATTTTTCTCATCGTCCATGTGTAATGTGTTGTTGAGGGGAAAGGAAGAGGAGAGGTGGAACTGAAGAAATTTGTCTGTATATAAAATGAGTCACAAATTGTGTGTGATTTCTGCTAGATAGACACATGGTTTGGGAGCCAGGAAAATGACTGGGGCTCCCTTAATGACCGGATTCACGTTGGAGAGAAGAGATCTTGTGTCGAACATTTCCACCTTCGCGATTGGGCGCCAGGAAGTTTATTTCTGTAGAGATCTTTTTTTTAATTAAATTCCCGAAAGAGTGCCCGTGTGTGGATTTTATATCAGGCAAAAATTTACAAATGATCCAATGAGTGAAAGAGAAAAAATGGTGTGTGTGTGGATGGCTTTTTTGCTGCCTTGAGAGTGAAAGAAATCTGTTGCATATTCAAAGGAGTGCTTTTGGATTTTAATATTAAAATTATGCGAGAGTTGTCTGTTTATGTGGCCCACTTTCAAACAGACAGAAGAGACATATACAGAGAGATCGTCATCCAAACAGTGCAAGAAGGTAGAAAATGATACGTATATATTGCTGTTGAGGGGAAAAAAAATTAAATTTTTGTTGATATTTAAACTCATTCATTTTCACGCACTGTTAATTCTTACTGCTTCTTTCCCTTGTGAGGAGGAGGAGGAGGAAAATTATTGTGGTGGGCAAAGTGAATGAGTGCTTTGAATAATAAAATATGTGTGAGTGCGTAAGTCTTCTCTCTTTCTTTGTAACCAACAAATTTTCCTTTGCAATTTCGCAGGAGGATGCAAACCGTGGAAAACCGAATTGGGAGCATCTCTCCGATGACTTGCACGTCTTGATTACCGTGGAGGATTCGGAAAATCGTGCCAAAATTAAATTGCAACGAGCAGTTGAGGAAGTGGAAAAACTCTTAGTGCCAGTAAGTTGGTTATTTTTGGCATCTTTTTGCACCATAGCTTTGATAGAGAGCGAATGGCAACCAAGTGGGAAATTTCAATATTCATCTCTATCCAATTACACTGTGCAACACTTTTCTGCCCTTTTTTTGAGGTGTGGATTTTCTGATTCCTTGAGTCACCAGCTTTTCAACGGTACCTTCCTTTTTTCTCTAGACCCTCAAGTTTTCCTTTTAGAGCCTATTTTCCATTTTCCCCTATTTTCACCCACTTTGCCGCACTTATGTGCTCATATCTCGCTCAATTTTCCACGGATTTTCCTCAAATTAGGCTCAAACAATAGCTATTGAAATTACCTACTACTTTGTAAAACATTGTGAGTGTTTTAGATCACTCCTTGTTGGTCAAAAATGATCTTTTGTGAACCACTAGGTAAAAAATTCACCGGGTTTTTTACCACTTTTTTCTAAATATCTCCGAAACGAAGAAACTTTTATGTTGGATTATTTTTCCTATGTGTAGAGCACTTCAGGGGATGCATTTCCTCCATACATGCCGAAGTGATATTTCTTTTCTATCTGCCGGAAAAACGAGGTTTTTCCTCGACAAATTTTGCTTTTTTATGCTACGCGCACCCGCTAAAAAATTGAAAGAAGGTATATTTTGCTGTTTACGCACTCATTTAGGTAATGATAATGCTTAGATATTAAAACAAAAAAGAAAAAAGGCCAATATCTCGACTTTTTAGCTATTTTACGTGAATTTTTTGTGTTTTTTATGGACTTGTTGTCATTAAGATCAAAAAAATACCTAAAATAGCTAAAAAGTCGAGATATTGGCCTTTTTTCTCTTTTATTTTAACATCTAAGCATTATCATTACCTAAATGAGTGCGTAAACAGCAAAATATACCTTCTTTCAATTTTTTAGCGGGTGCGCGTAGCATAAAAAAGCAAAATTTGTCGAGGAAAAACCTCGTTTTTCCGGCAGATAGAAAAGAAATATCACTTCGGCATGTATGGAGGAAATGCATCCCCTGAAGTGCTCTACACATAGGAAAAATAATCCAACATAAAAGTTTCTTCGTTTCGGAGATATTTAGAAAAAAGTGGTAAAAAACCCGGTGAATTTTTTACCTAGTGGTTCACAAAAGATCATTTTTGACCAACAAGGAGTGATCTAAAACACTCACAATGTTTTACAAAGTAGTAGGTAATTTCAATAGCTATTGTTTGAGCCTAATTTGAGGAAAATCCGTGGAAAATTGAGCGAGATATGAGCACATAAGTGCGGCAAAGTGGGTGAAAATAGGGGAAAATGGAAAATAGGCTCTAAAAGGAAAACTTGAGGGTCTAGAGAAAAAAGGAAGGTACCGTTGAAAAGCTGATGACTCAAGGAATCAGAAAATCCACACCTCAAAAAAAGGGCAGAAAAAAGTGTCATTTTTGTTGCCTAGTGTTATTGACACAAAATGCAACATCGCACACACGCGAGATTTTACGATGTGGCTTTGGGTCGAAATTTTAATGTCATTATTGGCAAATTCAGTTCAATGCTGATGATGGTGTGACAACAACAAAATGGGGAGAGAAATGTTGCCTCTTTCTGCTATTTTGTGTTCTCCAAATGGCTTTTGGAGGTCTCAAATGGCCGCTGAGTGAAAGAGTGTGTTTATATTACTTGTTCAAAGTACACACAGAATCATAAAATTGGCTATATAGTTTGCATTTGCAAATTCTCAGCTCTCTGAGAAGTATTGGAGAGGGAGTGAAAAAAGTGGATCATTCTGTGGAAATTCACTTGGTTCCAATTCATTTAATTTAATTATTTGGTTTATTTATAAAATCCATTTAAAATCCATCCGGATGTTTCGACATTCATTCAACTACTAGAACTACTTGTGTGTATAAAAAGTGTGCAAGAACACTGAATGCTCTGTTGAAGTAGCATATATACAATATCGTGATGTTTCTTGTGATGCGAGTGAGAGAAGAAACTCTTGATTGTAATCTCAAGGCTGTGATTTTTCATAGATAATGTTTCTTTTCTGGTTATCTCGCCCGAAATGTAGCAAGCCGAAGGCGAGGATGAACTCAAGAAGCGTCAACTGATGGAACTGGCCATCATCAATGGCACATACCGGGATTCCAGCGCCAAGACAACAGTTGCAGGTATTTAAATGAGTGTCCAATTGATTATCTTTGCGATCAAGTGTGACGTTGATTCAATCTAATGAGCGCTATTTCTCTTCCTCTTTTCACATCTCATTGCTGTTCCTCACGCTCGATGGTCCTGTCTTGATTTGTATGGCGTGGTGGTTAAAGCGGCTGAAGAAGAGTGGCGTCGTCTGGCCGCCAGTGCCGCCGAGACGCGTCTTCTCTCACCAGCCATGCCAGGATTGACGGCCCAGCAACTGCGTACGCCGGCCACACCATTGGGAGCCCCGCTGATCCTCTCGCCGAGGATGTCAGTGCCCACAACGGCCGCCAGCATTCTGTCCGGCTCGGCTCCGCCGACCATTGATCATCCGGGATTGATCTACGCCACACCGTATGGTGATTACACCAACTACGCCCTGGCGGCCGGGAATCCTCTGCTCACGGAATACGCCGATCATAGCGGTGGGTTGTTTGCACGATAATAATAATTGTTGATGCATTATTTTCAGTGGACACACACACACACACACAAACACACTCCGGGTTAATTATATTAACCACCGTCTAAGAGACACACACGGCACACACAATGTCTAAAATTGAAAAACAAGATAGACCCCCCTCAACACACAACCATTGCTGAAAGATTTCTTTAACTTTCTTTGACATGAAACTTAATTTTCTCGCGTCCAAACCTGACAACATCAAATAATCACGCTGAAATTAATTTCCATTGAGAACAAGAGTCGCGGATGAAAGTGTCGTCTGTTTTTGGCTGAAAATGAGCCAAGGAAAATTGTTTTTTTTTCATCCGCGATTTTAGTTCTTGATGAGAGAGAGAGAGAGTGAAAATCAGGAGAATTAGAAATCCCTCGTCTCTAACAGCATTCAGTATTTCTCGTGTGTCTAAATAATTTAGATGGGTTGAAGCATCACAAACTCTTTAGTGGCCAATAACTATTGTTTTTTATGTGAGTAGGAAGCGAGAGAGTGAGTGAGTTCCAAGTATGAGGAGATGTACTTACTAGGCAGTGTGGGAGGAAAATCACATGGCAGCATTTTCATATAATTTTTCTACTTCTCAATATCCCAAAGCTTAAAAATAATTGCATACACTTGTTGAGTAATGTTTCTATTGAAAATTCACAACCAAAAAGAGAGAGAGAGAGAGAACGAGAAGAAGAAAAGTTACTTGTTAATTCACACTATTAGAGAATTAACACCCAATTCAGTGCAATTCCAACACTAATTCCTCATCACGAGTAGTTACTAATTTTTTTTTTTCTGTATAACAATTTATATTTTTTTAATTAATTTATACAATTCATCTAATGAGTCATTTATTTAATTTATTTTCCCTCTATAGATATTTGTGTTTTATAGCTACACATTTTATTTATTGTTTCTTCTTGATTTTATGTTTTTTTTTTATCTATGTTTAACGCATTTTTTCTCTCTCCTTACATTCTACAATATTTTTTCAGTTGGTCGTTTTTTGCATGCTGGCTCCGTGTTTTAAAAATGACATAAAAATTATGAAAAAAAGTGTTAAAGAAATAGAACACACAAACATATATTCTGTGCTATATAATCTCTTGAAAAAATATCCATCAACACACATCCAAAAATATTTTTTTTACAAGACAAAAAAGTAATATAATGTGTCTAGAGAGTATCGATCACTTCCTTATGACTTACACGATTTATTTGCCTTGTTACAATTTTTTTTTAAATATTTTTCACACATTATTTTACTCTTTCTATACTTATTAATTTTATACTTTTTACATGTAGAAACACCCCGTGTTTATCTCCCTAGTAAATACTCATTTTTTTATTTTTGCGTCAGTAATAATTTCTGTAATTAAAAATGTCTTTTTGCAACTGATATGTGTGTGTGTTTGTGAGTTGAGGAAGACAGAGCAAGATTGTTAGGAACGTCAGAAATTGTATCAAGCAATGAACAGATGAAGAAACAAAGAAACTTACTTTGGTAAGAGGTTGAAGTTATGAAAAAAAAACAGAAATGCCATAAAAGCCATATATTTAAAAAGTTAAAATGTTTACAAAAATATATAGAATTGAGGAAAACTTAGAATGTGTATAAAATAGGGTTAGTTTTGAGGAAGAAAGAAGAAAATTAATGAAAAGCAAAAAAAAAATCCTAAGTTAAATGATTTTATATAGTACACGTCTATTTAATAGGAACTGTGTAAATATTTTAGGACTTCTAGGTTAGTTGAAAAATGAAGAAAAACTATTGAGTTTAAAGTTAGTCAGGAATGGTCGTAAAATCATCCTCACTAGAGGATGTTTTATACAGTGTGAAAGAGAAGATTTAAAGTCAATGAGCCATTCAATTTCGATTATACATATATTTACGTATTTTTACGATTAGTTTTGTAATTTTCATAGGTGAAGGTTGAAAATTTTTATTCTCCCCTTTCATATATATATTTCCTCTTTATGGGAAAGAAACTGAAGAAATATGGCAAAGTGTCAACAAGCTCTCTCGAATTTGTCATAAACGCAAAAACACACTTCTATACATTTATTTCAGTTTCTCTCCTTTCCTTCACACCTCCCAATATTATCGTTTTAATGGAATCACTTTCACTTTGATCAATCAGATTTTTTTTGGTGCTATATATTTTGCAAATCTCTTTTTTCGACTTTATACTCTATTTTTTGTGTGAATAGAAGTTTAAAACTGAAAGGATTATTTAATAGTCCGTCCAAATACTAGTCAATGACGTTTTTTTTGTATTTTCAAACATGTGTTTTTTATTGTATTTTATTTCTCAATCATCTTTCATTTATTCAGCTACTTTGCAATGCGTTTTTTTTTTGTATCCACTATGATATTCAATATTTAGTTGGGAAACTTGCCATTTTTGGTCTAAATTCGCGTTCAGAGGTATGAAGCAAGAAACAGTATTTAAGAAAGCAGTTAATATTTAGCAAATTGTTCATAAAATGCCATAAATTGAGGATGAACAAGTGTTTGGCGGTTCATCTGCAAAGGTTTTTGTGACAAGGGACCAATAATAATGATAAAGAAACAAATATTTTTTTACGAAAACACCTTCACCACAATTTAAAGAAAGCATTATTAGAAAGAGAGAAGAAGAAACGCGATTTACCAACAATGGAACTCCTCACAAAGTAAAACAAAACAGAATGAAGAATCGTCCTTTAGGAGAGTTTTTACATGATATATTTTCAATTTCTCCCATTATATGATTTGTTTATTATTTTTTTTGTAGATGTCTGAAGAATTTGAGATACTTAGATTTTCTTGAGAATGTATGAAATATCTTTTTTTTTTAATGCAAAAATTCACACCCAATGTGGTCTTCCTCTTTTTTCTTGTAGTAGGCGGCCTTAAGCAGCCAAGGAGGCATTTTCCGCCACGTGAGCATCCCTATCAAAGAGCTGGGGCACTTTCTTAGAGACAATCCGCATGGATTCTCTCTCAAAATTATGCAAAAAAAAGAATATTGCGCGCGATCAATGACTCATGAGATGTTTCATAATAGAAAATTGCCCCATTCTCTCTGTAAAAGGTTAGTTCACTTCTTTTACTTACTATATTTACCATATTTCTCTTTATTTTATTTAGGATTTTTATTTTATCATTCAAATGAGTTTAATTTGTTGTATATAGAAGAGTTAGTTGTAAAATTACAATTTTTTTTATTTTGATAAACACTGAAGTAGATGTAAAGCGAATGCATATTTTAGTCTCTTCTGAAGTATATGAAAGGAAAAGCACTTGGAAAGTCGTCAAGATTGGCGGCGATATAAAACAAAATTCAAATGATGAGAGTGAGATTTTTCCTTTCTAAAGTGAGTGACAAAGTGCACTTTTGGGTGTTTGGGAGAAAACGTACGCGTTGTTTTTTCCCTTTGCAAGACATCAATTTATATTATTTTCTTTTGTGGAGGAAAATGTGGTGCTTTTTTCTTAAGTTAATACATATACATCTATTTTGGAGCATCACTTTTTCTGTCCGTCTTGATGGCCATAAAAATTCCTGCCACAGAAAACAAGTCAAAACTCATGGATCTCGTTTTTTCTCACACCACAATCTATCGCAGCACAAACACAATAAATCACAGACACACTTACAATACTACAAATGTTACCATTGAGGGTGTCCTTGTGGAATCCTCGCATCCAGTTGATGGAACACATGAAAAATTCCCCTCTCACCATTTGAAAACGTAGAGTAGAAATTGTGAAAAACACAATCACAAGATCAAGTGAAAAAAAATACAGAAATTATCTTATATATTTTTTTTCTTCTCATATCTTAAGTAAAAGAGCAAAAGTGCGATTTTTTTTAAGAGTATTAAATATTAGCGATTTTTTTGCAACAAAAGATCGATTGTAAGAAGAAGAAAAAAGAAGATCTTAGCGTCATTTGCATTTTTTAGCACTCTTGTCGAATTTTGTTGGCTCACAGACTTTGTTGTTTCTGGAGTCGCGAAGAAAAATATGATGATACTTAAGAATATTGATGGAAAATGCAAATGATCGAGAGACGCGAACAAATAAGAATATTTAGAGAAATGAAAGCAAAAAAGTACTATTGTCGTTGACTTGTGCCTTTGTGGAAGATGAAATATTTTATATTAAAAATATATTTATACTATTATGTATAATTTGTATACTACTGTAGAGAGAAAAAGAAGAAAGAGAGAGAGAGAAAGAGAGAAAGGAAGAAAATGAGCAATGAAAGAACTACTTATGCGTAGTGAAAGAAAGAAGAAAAGTTACAATGGTGCAACATGAATGTTCTCTTTTTTGTTGTTGTTGAAAGAAAGAAAAAAATGATACAGAGAAAATCTAGATAATTTTTTAAATATTTTTTTTCCAAAATATCCAAGGCAAAATGTATTGAAGTAATAAAGATGATTATCCACAGAATAAAATAGTCGGATGTCTTTATTTTTTGGTTCTACTCTTTTTTTTTACTATACATATAATATTTTTTTGGAACAATAATATTTTTTAATAATTAAAAGAGGCAGAAACTGATTAACTTTATTACTTATCAAATATTTTTACAAATTAATATTTTTACTATTTTAATAATCACATCTATGTAGCAATTCTCTTAAATCAAATTAATATTATGAAAATATATTTTATAAATATATTTTTTATGCTAACACTTCATGGCACCTCTCTAAAAACTAAAATAAATATCAAATTGCAAAGCGTGATTTGCAAGATTACTTATACCAATATAATTAGTTTGTCAAAAAATCATCTATTACTCAATTTGTTTTTCTCTTGTATGTCTTTACTTAATATTTTCTCAGAGCATTTTTGATAAAAAAAAGATATCAAAATCACATTTACATTAAATCAATATTTGTAATAGTTGATTAATGATCTCTACTCTGTTTATTCAAATTGACGAACGCAATTCAACTAACCAAAGGCCAAGTTAACACAAAACTTATTAATAAATAAAAAAATATTTCACCTTTTTTATTATCTTAATAATAATATTAGCAAAGATTTGTTATTGATCAAATTGTTTTGGCATTACCTATTAGTTGGATATGGGAATATTCTTATACTTTGTTTTGTTAATTGAATAACAAGTATTTATAGAATTATGATATGTATATAATTTTATTTTGTTTTTAGTCTTAATCGCACAATAATTCATTCTCTTTACCTTTTGCTCTTGTCTATCTCCTTTACTTGACTTGTGATTAAAAATTCGTTTAACCATCATTCCTTGAAGTATTTCATGGCTTTTTTCCATTTTCTAATGTTATTTTTAATACAGTATTTCTGTGGGGAGAATCATTGCAAAAGGATAAAGAGGATAGTTATTGTGATTGAGAGAAAAATTCAGTGATTAAACGTCTAATCTTTTTTTTTATTTATTTGCTCTGCTTTATTGCAATAAAGTAATTCTTTTATCTCCCGAAAATCACTGAAATTTCCTCACAATTTCTGTAAATTTTATATTTACCAATTAATTTAAAAACAAGCAACAATTTATTCTCTTTACAAATTTCACTAACATGTCTGTTTATCTTTTTTTCTTTTTCTCTTTTTATACCCACAAAACTCAACAATCAAATCTCTAAAACAAAATAATGGTAAAAACAATGCTAACAACCTGTCTCTGGTGCCACTCTTAATGGTCTGTGGTTGTCTGTTGCGAACATGAAAAGCCCCGAAAGCCAAGAAAGCAAGATTCACATACGAAATGTGAGCGTAGTGCAAGCCTGACAGTGTCCGCTAGTTTGAACGTGTGCTAATCTCCATCCAGCCTACTACCCACTACTACTTGTAGTCACGAATACCCTGAATTGTCAGCCCAACATCATCTCATCATCATCTCGCGTGCGCCCACTTCAATGCAATTTACCGGGGAATGAAAAAGATGAAGCAGAATTTTCGCGTCTCACCTCACAATTGAACAGAAAAGAAAGAATGTGTCATGAGAGATAAAAGTGTCTCATTGTGTGTGTTTTTTTTTATTTTGAAGTTCTTCTCGAGACGAGGTGAGATATTTGTAAGATGTTCTTATAACAATCGTAATAAGATGAAATTTATATAATCAAAAAGAAGAAGAAGATGGATAGTTAAGGGCAAAGATGAAATACTTTTTCAAAAAGAAATATTGTTGAAATCGTAAGTAGATGTCTTTTTATACTACACAATTTACATATTATATTCATGTATGTCTCTGTTCTCTAAACACTAACAGAATCAAAAAAAAACAAGGAAAAAAGTGAGAAAAGATGTTTTCTCTGTTAAAGTCTATTTACAATCATGCAAAGAAAAGATTTATTGAGAAGTTTAGAGAGAAGGAGAAGGAGGAGGAAAAAACTACTAAGCAATTATGTGCAATTTCTTAATCACTTTCTCGAATGTTTCTTTTTTTTTCTTTTGCAAATACTTGTTTAATTCTATACACTTCACTGTATCTTTATTCATAATGTTGGAAATTGAGAGAAGCACTCTTGAAATGAGAATATTACTTGGTTATATTCTAATGCACAAATTTTTGAAAGCGAGAGGAGAAAAATGATAGGAAACTGAGAAGCAATAATGATGGATTTATAGTGGTAACTTTCTAACATTATATTTTGTAAATAATCTCCAATCTTCACATTTTTTTTCTCTGAGAAAGTATTTTTAAGTAAGAAATTTTGTGCCTTGAATTTTTTTTTTGTTTAATATAGAATATTTAACACATCTTCTGAATCAAAGAATAACATATTAAAATATTTTGTGACATTTCGAATAAAAAAGAATCTCCTTCATTAAATTTTGACCCTAGAATAAAGACTTAGGAATATTTTTCTCACTAATATTATTTAAATTCTTTAATGTGCAATTCTCATGGTTATTTTTAGAGGGGATTTTGTTCTCTTTTCATCCCAAAACTATATATTATTGTATCTTCCTTGGTAGTTTTCATGCAAAAAAAATCTTCACAAGTCGATTGAATTTCTTTAGAAAGAATATTATTTTTGAAAAATGATTTCCCTATTGCAAGAAATAGTAAAACAAATAGTGCCAGAATGTAGCAAGAATTTTATACATTGAATTTGTAAGCAGTTAAACAGTTTTAAAATGATGAAGAGAATCACAAGAAAAATAGGTGTAATTAAAATATAGATTTTAGAGTGCCATTTAAGAGAGACGGAAAGAGCGAGTTTGGAAGAGAAGTTGAATTAAAAAAAAAAGGCGTTGCGACAAATGAGAAAAGAAGAAAAATCACTGCATTTAGAGAATCTCACGAGAAAATTGCAAATAGACAGCTATTACTTAAAAAAAAGAGAGATACTTCTTTTTCGTGTTATAAGTAGAAATTAGTTTTTGTGTCTTAAAATCAAACTTCAGAAGCAATTTTCTTCTCCACTGTTAAATTTTTTTTATTTACATTTCGTGTACTTAAACTTTACATGCAACACTTTGGCTTTTCTTTTCTTCTCCAGTTCACGAGTTCTTAGGCGATAATTTGGTTCTTAGTTTGATGTAAGAATGAAAACATACGCAATACTCTTTAGACAAGTAGGCAAGACGATGGACGGGAAGCAAGTCCCGTGGAATCTCTCAAAAGCTCCAATGGAAATCACGCAATTAATTCTGAATCTCTTGTTGATGCGGAGACAAGTACAAGATTTTTTAGGATAGAAGCGAGCAAGAGAGATCGAGTAATAATTTAGGATTAGGCGATTTTTTGTCAATCTCTTTTTATTTGCGAAAAATGATTCATAATCGTGGAAATAAAGCAACTTCGCAGAGAGGGTGGTCTTATCTCTTTCGTCGCTTATTCTGCCTGTCCATGGCATTGAGCTCAGCCTGCTGATCGGACGCCTCGGCGAAAATCCTCTTCACCATCTCCCGCCTCTCGCGGTCCAGCTTCATCTGCTTCTTGATGCGCATCTTCCCGACGAATTCAGCATCGCGACGAATCTCCCGCAGGGCGCTCTTCGTCTCCCTCTTCACTTTGTGCCTCAGTTTGTCGTACTCCGCCTTGGGATCCTGCACCTGACTCCTTCTCCTGTCCGTGTACACAGCATCCTGGATCTTGGGATCAATCTGACGCAGTTGAGGCACCTTTGCAGCCTTCTTTGACGGCTGCAGGAAGTTCAGAGGTCGTTCAGAGATGTTTTGAATAAGTCTCCGCACATTTTCCGCCAGATTTCTCGTCCTATCGGGATACTTCTCCAGCGGAATCTGGTTTCGATCTGAACTCTTCTTGTTACTCCTTCAGCACGGCCTGGAAGAGCTGCACCTGGCTCAATTGCAGCAAATCGTAGAGATGAGGGATCTAAGCTCATATTTTCTTTTATTTGTTGCTGCTTGGTCAGAGCGGCTGTGGCTCAATAGTCAATGCGCTTGATTCTTGATTGCGACAGTCGTGTGTTCAAATCCCACCAATTGCAAAAAAGAATGTTTGAACGGTTTGAACACAGCAGAGTAGCAATAAAAAGACTTATAATGGGTAAAAGAGGGAAGGGAGCTACCCAAGCGCGGATTTTGCTGTTGAATGTTCCAGATGAAACATACGCTTCACTGAAATTGTCTTGCGCTCTGTCTCTGTATATAAAAGGTGGTGATAGAAACCAAAAGTAGTGGGTTTTGGTTGGTGTAGGCAGGCAACTGACAACTGCCGCCGCCGTGAAGCAAAACACGTGAACAAGGTAGTTAAAGGTGACATCGTCACTGAAAGATCTCCGGGACTAAAAAATATACAGATACCCGGGGATGGAAGAGAGACACGAAGAAATGATGAAATTGACAATTGTTTCATACATTTCCTTGTCATCCTCCTCCAAGAGGTTAACGGATTTCTGCAAATTTAACTCATGGTTGTTTCCACTTTCAAGAGTCATATTTGGTAAATTAGTCTTTTCTGCGAGATGATCGCAAAGGGCCATTACCGCACTCTTGTAGAGTTTCACTTTCCTCTCTTCATCACTTAAAAATGTGGGATTATTTGTGTTTGCTACGAGAAGATTCATAGCCTCCCAACTAAACTTTTTGGCGCAGCTCAGCTCCCTATTAATTTGATTTGCCAGTTCCGTTTTCTCGATAATTCCGATATTGATTTCTGAAAGAAGGCGATAGAGTAATTTACAAATATTTTACTTTAAAATCTCCTTAATTACATTATTTCGAGTAATCTTGCACATTTTACTCTTTTTTCATTATCAACTATTAGGATTAGACCGATTAGACGATTTTCTGTCAATCTCTTTTTATTTGCGAAAAATGATTCATAATCGTGGAAATAAAGCAACTTCGCAGAGAGGGTGGCCTTATCTCTTTCGTCGCTTATTCTGCCTGTCCATGGCATTGAGCTCAGCCTGCTGATCGGACGCCTCGGCGAAAATCCTCTTCACCATCTCCCGCCTCTCGCGGTCCAGCTTCATCTGCTTCTTGATGCGCATCTTCCCGACGAATTCAGCATCGCGACGAATCTCCCGCAGGGCGCTCTTCGTCTCCCTCTTCACTTTGTGCCTCAGTTTGTCGTACTCCGCCTTGGGATCCTGCACCTGACTCCTTCTCCTGTCCGTGTACACAGCATCCTGGATCTTGGGATCGATCTGACGCAGTTGAGGCACCTTTGCAGCCTTCTTTGGCGGCTGCAGGAAGTTCAGAGGTCGTTCAGAGATATTTTGAATAAGTCTCCGCACATTTTCCGCCAAATTTCTCGTCCTTTCAGGATACTTCTCCAGCGGAATCCTCTCCAGTTGCGCCTCAATGTCCTCCGCAATGTACTTCCCTCCTGGACTCGCCAGCATCTGCTCCAGTGATTGCTCACACAGGCCAAGAGCACAGTGTAGAAGTCGCACTCTAAAGCTCTGAGTCACTTTAGTGTCAATCAAGTCCGCTGAAGTCATCTTTAGCTCCTCCTCCGGCACCCCAGTGGCACCTTCAGCCAGAACCAATGATATTCTCATGTCTGTTGTGAATGGAGGAATCAATTTGACCACCTCAACAGACCTTCGGGGCGCACAGAGTGTCAGAGTCTGCGTCAAGCAAATCACAGCAGCAGGAAGAAACCTCTTGGACAGATGAGTGAATTCCAGAACAGTGCACACCAACAGAAGTCCTCTGGCAAAATCCGTTCTGCGCTGGAATTCGCAGTGAGTCAGGATCTGACTGATGAAGATCAGCGCTGGAGTGGCGACACTGTGTCGAAAGTCCGACGTGGAGAAGAGAACGGGCACGAGTTTGAGGAAGATAATTGTGTCCAGTCCGGGAAAAACATTCCTCCTCGATCTGAACTCTTCTTGCTTCTCCTTCAGCACGGCCTGGAAGAGCTCCACACACTCCACCTGGCTCAAATGCAGCAAATCGTAGAGATGAGGAGTGATCTGAGCACAAATCTTCCATGATTCCTTCGCATTCTCCTTGGAGACGTCCGCGAAGGAGTCATTGAGGCGTTGCAGAAGATATGAAAAAAGAACAGGAATCTTCTCCTTGTTATCAGGCTGCAATCGAGGATGATGGTTGGCTACCAAAGCGTCCAGACGCTTTCCCTCATCATCCCCATTGAGGATCTCAAGGAAGTCTTCGTAAGATTGTGGAAAGTCGAAGGAGAACTCCTGGTTGGGCTGCGGGAGGATCTTCTCAATATCTTCCTCACTTTCGTCATCACTGGAAGATTCTTCTTGCTCATTTTCCTGCGTATTTTCTGCGATCTTCTCCTCCTCGATTGCCTCGTCGTGAGCTTTAATCGTCGTATAGCCGTCATCGAGATCATCCACAGAGCGATGCTGCGGAATTCTGTCCTTCTTAACAGTTCCCTGCATTCTCGCCAGACGAGCTCTCTCCAGTTTTTCCCTCTTCTCGCGCTGCTCCTTCTCAATCGCCTCCAGAGACTTGAGCTTATCAGTAGGCTCACCCCGAGCCTCAAAGATCATCTCTCTCATCGTTCTGTCATAAGCATCGGGCTTGATTTTCTCATCCTGATCGCCACGAGTGAGCTTTCCCATTAGAGGAATAAGACTCTTCCAATCCTCATCCAGTTTCTCGGTCATCGTTTGAACAGCATCCTTTTCCCTCGCAATCTCCGCCTTTCTCCTCTTTGTCTCCGCAATCATCTCCTCCAGAGCTTCCTTTCCGGACAATTTTCCACTGCCTTCTGCTGATCCTCCGCCAAAGTGAGCAGCTTCAGTGTATTTTGCATCTAATTTCATCCCTTCTTCTTCCGAATCATCGTCATCCCTCTCAGACGGCGGGTCATCGCACTTTTCTATGCTCTCTATCGTCTGCCCTTTGTGCGTGAGAGTGTCTTCATTCAGATTAAACAAGCGCTTCCTCTTCGACTGGCCACTCTTTTGGCTGTAGATATTCTTCATCTCCGTCATGAAACGCGCCCTCATGGCTTCATCTCCACCTTGAGCTCCACCAATTCGCCTATCCCGGAAACTGTTAGCTTTGTTGTGCTTCAGCAACTCCACTCCAAGAGTCGCTTTTCGCTTGTCGAATGCCCTCTGCCTGGCCACTCCCGGAATCCCACGATCGTGGTCTGTTTTTCGATTCAACACTGCGAATTTCGTCTTATTCACGTGCTTCTCAAAAGGATTGGCTCTCTTAGTAGCTGTATTTGCTTTCTTGGAGTACACAGCGTCGGAGATTCCAGGTTTTTTCGTCTTTTTCCCCATTTTAAACGAAAATCTCGTGAGCCACCTGACAAAGTAGGGTTAGTAAGTCATTGCATGAAATATCGAGAACACTTTTTACTGAATCCAGCAAGTCACACTTACAAATGTGGATATGAATTCCAAAAACTCTTTTTCCGATAATTTTAGATAACTATTGGACTTCTGGCGGGGCGTAAAACATTGGTATGTTATTGAGAAAAACAAAAAAGCGTGCGGCAACATCAACACAATCACCCTTTACAGATGAGAGCGACACCTACGAATCACACCGATAAACATTCATAGACATTCGATGTTTTCTTTTCACTGAAAATTCGAGAAATTTATAGAATATATTTCTTGTCCTGACTGGAAATTCTTTAATTTCCTTATTTGAATGCATGGAGATCCATAAATTGCTTACTATAGTTATCAATATTTCAAATAAATTTTCCAGCTGGCAGAAAAATTTGAAATTTTATGGCAAGAAAAAGAGCGTCTGACTTTGACACTCCGTAGAAGAAGTAGAAGAAGAAGAAGGGTTGAAGAATCTCGTCGGCGAATTTGTAGTTCTGTGAAAAAAATTGATGCTGTGCGGTGAAAGAATAAGCTGTGAAACATGGAGAGGTTCACCGTGAAGATCATCAACAAGCCTAAATCTGCCCTGCGAAATGTGTGTCGTCTGTGTGGCATGGATAATCCCTCAAAGATCTCGATTCTGCAAGGAGACAACGTTTTCTGCGTGGATGATGTGCCTCTCGCGACGAAAATTAGCGTTTGCTGTGGTATTCAGGTACTTTTCCATGAATTTCTCGATACTTTTCCATTTGGGAGAAGCTTAAGGATGAAGATCCAAGAGATTTAACGAATTTTTTGTATCTTTTTCAGGTGACAAATGGGGACAAGATGCCTCAGAAGATTTGCACTCTCTGCAGCGACAAGATCAATGACTTCTTTGAATTCCGGGAAATGTGTTCAGCTACCCAAATACAAACCAGAGACTTGCTGGGACTGCCCCGGGAAATGCCCAAGCCCACACCTGTGCCATTGCATCCGGTATGTTTGATATGTGGAGGAATTTGGGGTGCAAATTCATCTGACTTTCACTATTCTTTCCAGTCTCCTCTTGTGTCGCTGCAGAACCACATCGATCACTTCGACAGGCCTTCAGACACCATCCTAGAACCGCCCATTATATCAGAGTCCAGGACGATCCAGAGGGCGGAGAGGCGAGTCCCGGCGCAGGGTCGTGTGCAGAAGAAGAAGAAAAAGACTGCCGCCAAGTCGGTGGTTGTGAAGCCAGAACCGTCAACTTCTGAACCCGCGAGCACAGTGAAGAAGAAGGTGAAGAAAGCGCAAGTCAGGGAGAAGAAGAAGACCAAACCGGCTGTCTCGAAGAAGGTGTCTTTCGCCATTCCGTCGGTGGCCGAGAAGCGCCCTAGTCAGGAGGAAATGGAGCCGAAATCGCGCGCGAAGAAAGCGAAGGTGGAGAAACCGGTCAAAGTTCCCAAACCTCCGGTGATGATTGTGTGCCCGATTTGTGGGGATTCAATGGAGAAGGAGATTCGTAATGCTCACATGCTGCTTATGCACTCGCCCAAGACATTTGAGTTTGGCTGCAGTGCATGTGCGGTGCCTTTTGAGACCCGCGAAGACCTGCAGGATCACCAGTCGTGGCACAAGCAGGCCAACATTCCGTACAGATGCTTCAAATGCCAGGGATCATTTGATCGTCTCTCTGCCTACACTGTGCACAGCGCGAAGAGCTGCTCAGGGAACATCGAGTTCAGCAACACAGTTCCAAATACAAAATGCACCATGTGCAACCAGGATTTCGCCACATTCAACCTGTACAACTGGCATGGGTGCTTCATAAAGGCCAATTCCAACTGCCCCAAGTGTGACAAATTCATTCAGCGGAAGCAGAATCTATTCAAGCACATATTCAACTGCACTGGAAAGGGCAATTTCAACGCGACGGAGCCCCCGGAGGATGAAGAGATGGCCGAGATGCCGCATATCAAGGTGGAGAATCTTCCTGTGGCGGAGAGAAAGGTGAAGCCGCTGAAGATTCGGATCTTCGACAAGAAGAAGCACGCAATAGCTGAGACAGTTCCTGTGCGCAAGGTGATAAAGTCGGAGCCCGACTCGACGTTGGAGATTGAGGAGTCGCAGGTGAATATAGAGGCGCCAAGTCTCACTACAACCATTGAGGACATTCAGCCACCGTCGGTGGACAAGAAGAAGACGTTGAAGAACCCCTACGCGGCGATCCTCCGAAAGATTAAGCAAGAACCAAAGGACACGACAGAGTCGACTCCGCCAATAGCTAAGATAGGGATACAAAAGGTGCTCGAGAGGGTGACGCCAGCGAAATCAGCTGTTAGAGTGAAGCCGGAGCCTCTGGACACTGGCTATGAAGCAATGGTGAGAATTACTGCTGCGAATATCAAGAAGGAGAGGCTCGAGCCGACTGATGGGCATCCTGTGTCAGGTCTGTACGAGGAAGTGGCGCAAGAGAAGCGCAAGGAGCTGCCAACACTGCCCAAGGGCGTTAGGATAAAACAGGAGAAAGATGTGTTCGTGAAGCCAGAACCCATCGATCCTGCATATGACAAGCACCTACCGAATCCCGTTGCTTCTGCCCAGAAGGTGGTTAAGAAGCACCTGTTCAAGATTCCCTCTGCGCTGATCAAGAAGATCAAGCAGGAGAAATCGCAGCGAGAGGCAGAAAGCCAAAAGGGTAAGGAGCCGAATGATAGTCATGCACAGCAGGATTCTGTGCCTGTGATCACAGGAGTGAGGAGTATTGAGCAGAGTGACTTCAGGACGCCCATGAGTTGCCCCATTCGGATTAAGACTGAGCGATTGAGTCCGCCAAGGAGTGAGGAACACGAGGAGAACTGCACTCAAGAGGAGAATGGTGTGAATGCAAAGAATGGGAACCACGAGGTGTCCGCTAGTGCTCCAGCGATGCCTACTGAGGACGTCAATTCTGTATCCGGAATAGTAGTGAATACAGATGATGTGAGTTGGTGTTATTGGAGAAGAAGGGAAAGAGAATTAATTTTAATATCTTTTCAGGTTCCTGATGTCCCCAAGAGCGCACCTGAGACGACTGCTATTCATCAAAATGGAAGGTAGACGAGTGTCCTTGCGAGAGTTCAACGAGTAGTGAAATAAATGGACAAGGATAGCAGCGCGAATAAAAATTGCGTCTACATGAAAATTTATTTATATTTTCGCGTGTTTCTTTTCTCATTGCTTTTGTAAATCTTTCTTATCCTAGTCGAAGTCTGACCAGACCCTACTTAGGCTTACTAATGGCATCGTGAGTGGTGTTAAAAGTTGCACCAATACACACTGAATCCCGTCCACCAAGTCTCGATTAATTCCCTGGGTCTAGCCAGAAGCTGAAGCTTTCGAAAGCTCCTGGCCGCTTAGGGATTAATCGCAGGAAAAATCATGGTGGACGGGATTAAGTCTGTCTAGGCTATATATTCCATGGCTTCCATGGTTTCTGCAAGTTTCGAAGGGTTGTAAGGAAAATACACGAAACGCATGGCGAAGAAAGAGAGACATTGCAAGCAATGGTTCGCAGCACAATGATGTGTTTTCACCATTAAGATTCCTTCGTAAATTGAACAACCCCTCGGTGCTATTTGCTACCAGATGGCGTGATATCATCCATCTCCCTCAATTTCCAAGTTTCCAGCTTCCAGTTCTTTCGGTTCGCTTTCCCGTTTTCCATTTTGATCAACTCCGTGAAGCAGTCGATCAAGGAGGCTGTGAAACATCAGAAGTGCAATTTTTCACAAGGGCGAAACCAATTTTCCTAGTGCAGGCCGGTGAGGTTTTGTGATTTTGTACTTTCCCAAGAAGTGCGTTTGCGTTTTGGCCACAGAGATCGCGAGGAAATTGGAGATATCGGCTGAAAAGAGACGCGCAAAGCTCGCATCGTTCGAATGGCGTCAATTCAGCAGGTAAGTCTAATTTTTAAGCCTCTTCCTCTCCCATTTTCTGCTTTCCACTTGCTTTTTCCACGTCTTAATAATATTTTATTTCCCAATTCGTGTTTTTGACTATGAAAAATTGTGGATTTGGCACGTTTTTTGATGTTCACTTCACTTCCGGAAGCCATTTTGAGTGGTGGCAATTTGTGAAGTTTTCTCGGGAGATTCTATAATTTTCACAGAGTTTTCCCATTGATGACACAAATCACATAGTCTTTTAATTATTGAACTCGAGAATCTGTAAGAAAATTGTCCAAAACCCCCACATTTTCATGGTTAAAAGTTGGCTCACGTGTTAGAAATTTATTACGGTTCTTTTTATTTTCAGTGGAACTCGTATGATTTTCTAAATGAGAATCTGAGCCACAGCCTCTCCGGATCAGACAACATGCTGAAGACATCGATTAACTCTCTGTTCGAGCATGATCTTATGAATTCGAGCTATTCAACGGGCGCTGAAGGTGAGTTTGGTATCTTATCTTTCGTGGTAAATTATTTATGACTTTTCGCGTTGCTGCAGATGCCCAGTCTCTTCCGGATGCGTCGTATTACAACCGTAGGCACTTGCAGTCCTTCGGCAGTGCTTTCCTGGAGCCACCAATAGCGACCAACTCCCTTCCCGTCACGCCCACGAGCCTCCAGCCCACCCTGGACTTCGATCCTCTGCAGCTTGGACATCTGTTCAAGGGCTCGGATGCTCTCCAGAGAAGCTCTCTGAGTCTGGACACGCCACCATCACCTAAAGCGCTGCCCAAGAACCCGTTCAACTTTCCGCACAATTTCAGTCACTCGCAGGAGAATTTCTCGTCCAGCACGAGCAGTGGCGCCAATTCTCCAGTGAGCGACAGTCCAGTTCCCACACTCGAGAATCTCCTCGAGATCGTGAATTTGATGAACGTGAGGAATCAACAGATGGCCATTCTTCGCAACTCAGAGGCCCAGAATCCTCTGAACATGCTCCTGCAGCTGCAGCAGAGCGGCATTGATCCTGTGACTCACTTGAATTTGCTCTATGCCAATCAGGTAAGAGAGTCTTGTAGCTTTCAAATAAGACGTTTTTGAATCATTGAATTTCATTGCAGTTGAAAAACCTCCAGATGGTCCAGAATCACAGCGCGAGCAGTGATCATCTGCTTGATTACATGGCAAAGAACCATCGCCAATCTCACGCCGCAACGGAGAATTCATTCACTTGGCATGGCTCTCTGCCAACACGCAATCACGACAGCATCACGTACTCGACGAAGGTGTTTGTGGGTGGAATCCCATGGGAAACCACAGAGGGTTGTCTCATGGAGATGTTTAGTCAGCTTGGCTCAGTGCGAATCGAGTGGCCAGGCAAAGAGAACCGTACATCGCGTCCGCGCGGCTGCGCTTACCTGATTTTCGAGCGCGAAGAGCAGGTGAAGGAGTTGCTGAGCATTTGTCAAGTGCACGAGGATGCTGGCGAGCGGAAGTACTTCTACCGTTTGCTGCCGAAAGGCAAGGAAGTGGAGGTGATTCCGTGGATCGTCTCGGACTCTCTGTATATCAAGCGCACAACGTTGACGCTTGATCCGAAGATGACTGTGTTCGTGGGAGCTCTGCACGGGAAGCTGACGGCTGAGGGTCTCGCGGAGATCATTGACGTGCTGTTCGGTGGTGTGATTTATGCGGCGATTGACACGGACAAGCACAAGTATCCGATGGGCGCAGGAAGAGTGACGTTTGACAACGCTCAATCCTACGTGAAGGCTGTGAGGGCGGCCTTTGTGGAGATCAAGACGCCCAAGTTCAAGAAGAAGATACAAATTGACCCGTATCTTGAGGACAACCTGTGCTCGTCGTGCAACATACAACAGGGCCCGTACTTCTGCCGTGAGATCCAATGCTTCAAGTACTATTGCCGCACGTGCTGGCAACAGAGGCACTTCCTGGTGCCGCTCTATTACAACCACAAGCCCATGAGTCGCAATTCCAAGTCACAGACTCTGGTTGGCATTGGGCCGCCGTGCTCAGGCAGCGTTTATTCGGGATTTCAGCGCTAGACGCGCTCCTGATTTTGTGTACTTCCAAGTTAGAGTTTCTCAAGTCTTTGAGATCATGTCCAGAAACTGAATTTCTGCCACCTTTTATTAAATCACAGCCCATGATTTCTTTTTGCATATAAAATTGGGAAATATGATACTATATAGGTTCATATATAGTCAGAATGTTTAAAATATTTAACCTTTTTAATTAAGTGCTCAATGGAGAATTTTGCAGGGCAAAACTTGGCCATATTGAGATTGAGGTTTTCTCTGGGCTACGAAATGTCAAGTATTATTGTGTGCTTTTCCAGCTCAGTTATTACATTGTATAAGGCGATTAATTGAGGAGCGATTTATGGATTAGTGGGTGGAGTAGAGTTAAGAAGAGTCTGTTTTTTTCTTTATTATTCGTTTTCGCCATTTTATTGAGGAATTTCTTTGCAATAAAAATGGAAGTTATTTAGTTTTAAGAGAGAGAGAGAAAGAAAGAAAGAATCGTGCGTACAGAGAACAAATTGCTGAGATGAACAGGATTCAGAAGAAATTGTATTTCTCCGTAGGAAAAGTCACTGTAGAGAAATGTACAGAAAAGGAAAAGTGTTTTGAATGTAAAGGAAATTTTTGAGGTGAACAACAAAATGTGAGAGTATAGAAAAATGCCGATAAAGTAATTTACAAATATTTTACTTTTAAATCTCTTCAATTACATTATTTTGAGTAATCTTGCACATTTTACTCTTTTTCCATTATCAACTACTATCAATGGGAGAGAAATTTTTCTCTTTTCGAAAGTGAGAATAGAAAATAGACGTAATTCAATAATTGTTAATCTTGCCGAATTGGAACGAGGATATGAGATTTCTTCACTTTTCATTATATAATCCAGAAATTTACTATTTTTATGTTCAATAAAATTCATGTTTCGCCTTCCAACGTCATCAAATTGATTTTCTCTGAAATTCCTGGGTTTTCCACCTTTTCAGTGTCGCGAAAAGGTGGTCAAAAGTTGATTTTTGCATTTTCGTGTTGTGAGAACGCAGAAAATTGACCAAAACTCCCCGAGGAGACAATTTTCTATAAAAATTTCTATATAAAGTCAAAGAGATTTTGGAGTGGAGGTTTTTCAGCGATTTTTACATCAACGAACAGTTCAAAAATTCATATTATCTTCCACTGGAACGAACTGTTGATCTTTTCCGATTCGCGATGCTTTCCATGCGGCGCAAATAGGGAAAATTGGCAAATTGCGAAGTTTCGGAAGTGGATAAATTAGTAATGCTATTTGAAAGATCTGATTATTCCAATGAAACTCAACGTAAATCAGTGAGGAAAGAGTACAGACTTTAAAAATAATACTTTGTTTTCAATCTTCACTAGAAGATTTCTATCTAGAATACCATTTGCTTATGGATTTTAGAGAGTTTTAGTGAAGTTGGGAATATTCTTGTCTGCCATTTTGAATCGGTGAGTTTTTCCTTGGGAATAATCCTTATGTTGATTGACTGAAATCGCCTCTGCCCACTCGCAAATCTTGTCCCAAAATCGTGTGAGTTGAGAAAGTGTTTTTCCTTAAACCTACAAATTTCAATGGGGGCACTCTTAGTTCTGGAGCAGGACGTGCCAGCGAATGACGAGCTCCCCATTGGCGCTCTCTCGCATGTCGTTCCAATGGTTCATCTCGTCCGGCCCAGAGGAGTTTAGTCCCAGGCTAAACCAGCCGATCATCTCATTTCGCTTCATGTTGCGCTTCGAGTACACAGAGACCATGAGAGTGACGTCGTTGAGCTGGAACAGGGCGATCTGGAAGGTGAAGGTCTCCTTGAAGAGAGGATTCAGCTGGGCACGCCTGATTGAGGACTTGGCGCGGCTCATCTCCTGGCCGATACTATTCACCAGGCACAGTTTCACGTACGTGTCCAACGTCTTGTTCACCAGCATCTGGCGGAAGTGGATGCCCTTGATTATCTCCGTCGTCAATCTGCCCGTGGTTCCATTGTAGGCCAGTCCCAGCAGCAGCTCGGGCACTCCGCCGTGCTTAACAGACGCCGTGGAGCTGATGCTATCGCTTCGGGCTAGTGAGATTAGGTCACTGTTGCTCCCAGACAAGTTGACTCGCGTCTTGGGCTCCAGCGTGAGCCACATGTTGGCCTCGTATTCGAGATCGATGGAGCTGAACTTGACAATGGACTCCCCAATGAGATGCTCCCGCCTCATGCGGGCACAGCTGTACACCCGAATTCGGAGGCCCATTGAGTTCACCTCCTCGGGATTGACGCGATGCAGGAGGAAGCTCTCCATGAACTGGGGATTCTCGCCTGTGCGGATCTTGGTCTTGTGCTTCTGTTTTTTGCTGGGCAGGATGAGCAGTCGGATCTGCGTGTAGGTGACTTGGCCGGCACCTCTTAGTGGGATATCTCGTGCCTGTAGCACGTGAACGGTCATCTTCCTCATGGGCGCATCGTACAGCAGGGCAATCTCTACACTGCCATAGCTGGAATTGGCGATCGGACAGAACTTATCGGTGGGTTCGAGTTTGCTGGTGTCAGCAACTGAGGAGGGTGACTTGAGGGATTCGTTGCACTGCGACATCGTCTCCTCAAGCAGTTGCTCACGTGATGGGGACACGAAGAGGTACGACGGTGGATCGGCGCTGGAGATCTCGTCCACGTCCGTGATGTCCTGCAGGCGTTTCTTGTAGCGATGGGACTTGGAGGAGCGCCTCTCCGAGCCCTCAGAGTGCCGACGGTGTCGCCGACGCTCGCGGTCACGCTGCTGCTGAAACTCCCGCGTGAAAGGCACGTCCGAAGGATTCAATTCCCGGCGCTCCTCCGACAAGTACACCACACTGTTCTCTGGCAGTGTGTCCGCTGAACTGTTGGAGCTACACTCGCTGCTCGCCACGCCCACGCGACCGCGTTCTGCCACTTCGAGGGGATCCTTCCCCGTGATAATCACGGAATGCAGAGGGACATTGCCGCGCAACGCCTCCTGGTACATCACATTGGAGACACTTGTGGGCGATACTTGGGCGTACTTAGGCGGCTGCTCACCAGGAACTGGGATGAATCGCGTGAGAATGGCTTCTTCGGACTCCGATTGAATTCCTCCCTCTTCATACAGGCCGCGATTCACTGTTTTCAAGAAAACTTCAACGTTAACTGTGCCGAAAGGGGGAAAGGGGAGAGGAATGCGTTAGGACTTACTCCGTCGCAGGAGATTCTTAGTCTTGAGCAAATTCCGTGTCCAGCTCTTGTGTGGCGAAGTCCTGAGACACTGCTTCCTGAACAAGTACAGGAGAATGATGACGAGCAGAAGCAGCAAGGCTATCGCTGTGCCTGGTGAATCAGCGTGAAAGATAACTTTATTAGTGATATATACAATTTTTACCGATTTAATTAACCTTCAGTTCTTATCGTTTACGTTCTTTTTTAATGTTTAATGTCATTTAGGTAAATTCTAGACGAACTTTATTCAATTTCTGGCTCATGTTTTCTCTAGTGAGTGGTTAAATTTTTTATTTCCTGAATGGAAAGTGTACGAGAATGGCATTGTTTAAGCTTCTTGCAACATTCTGAACTCAGCAAAAGCAATTAATTTTCATCTCTTTAGACAGAGAATGGCTCTTTAGAGGCCAGTTTCGATGAATTTTCCAAACTTCTTCGTCGTTTTGGTTGTTGTTAGTTTGGCGATTTTACAAGAGAGTGTGGAGTAAGAAAACAATTAGCATTGTTGTGGCAAAGTTTATGAATAAAATATAAAAATCTGGGAGAAAGGCAGTGGGAAAAGAAAGGGGCCAGTGGGAAAAAAGAGGGCACACACGCGCGGGAGGAAAGGGAAACATTCTACACATATTAATTGAGTCGCATTTCGTGCTCATGAAATTTTTACGATGTCGTTTCCACTCATATTTTCTCAGTTTTTCCCCAACCACAACCCTTCAGGTGCGTTTTTTTTTCACCCACTGGCGGAGGGGTTGGGGGAGTGGAATAGAGGGTGTATGAGTTCATGACAATTTGATGGGGGAGCAATTGAGGTGTCCAAGGAATTTCCCAACACCATTCAGCTTCAGCCTTTTTTCTTTCACTCTGTCGCCTTACCATTGAGGTATTGATCGCGAAGATCACCCAAGTACCCCATTTTGTCCTGTTCTGTGGATCGTCTGGTGTGGATTTGGTGATATTTCCTCACTGTATGAACTCTGTTTTCACTGGGAAATTCCCAAATTTATGTGGATTTTCCTTCATAGCTTGCCGTGCGTTCTGAATACAATGCACACAACTCTGTTCTTTTCAGCCTTTCACACGCAAATTTATCACACAATATCACACCTTTATGCACAGTGTCTGGTGTTTGTCCTCTGTGTGAAGGAGGACTTTTCCTTAAAAAAAAAACAGGGAGGAAAGCTCCAGTGTGGCTGAACTGGGAGGAATTATTGTGTTGCACTGAAAGGAAAAAGTTGGAAACTAGATATGAATGGAGGACACATGCGCACATTAGAGTGAATTTTCCATTTCTCCTGCTCCAAAAAGCTCCCCCAACCACCAGGGCTTTCCATTGACTGGTGGACGATTCCACTTGTTAACAGTATTAAATAATGCTTTATTGCCATGAATTAGCATTCAACGAATTCATCTATACAATCTTCACCGATGTTCTAGTTTACATGTTGGAAAAAAGTCTTCATAACTCGTGATTTTGGTGACTTTGAAAGGCATAATTAGTTGACAAATCTATAAAATCTCACTCTCTCCTTCTCTCTCGTCAGTGTTTGACCTCCCCCTGTGTGTTGATACTGTTTGGAATATTCTCACTCCCCCTCATCCCCTTTTGGCGTGTGCCAGATATTTCTTCGAGTGTATGAAGCTGTCGCCAATTTACGCTGGTCCGTGCTTCTTCGCAAAATATTGGTACAGCCCAATGAAGGACGAGAGAGTGCCTATGAAGCCTATGTGGAGGGTTGACAAGTTCCCACCCCAAAGCCACCCTTTTGGTAGGGTGCTGACGGCTTGCGTGAGGTCCAAACTGAGTCGAACCACCGAGAGGAGCTCCTGCTGCTGCTTCCACAGCAATTTTCGTCTCTCTTCTCTGCAAAAGATGGAGTTGACAAGGATTACGATGATTTATTTATAATGTTTGTTAGGCCTTGATAGTGACGTGGGTGAAAGATTACCTGTTGCTATTGTTGGCGGCCTTATCAAGGGTTTTGCTGTATTGTTCCATGAGTGTCACGTTTCTCAGAATCCTGAGCAGGTTCAGGAAAATCGACAGCACCCAGCAAATAGAGCTTGCCGTGTCCCATTTGCTGGGATTCCTTACACTAATGACTCTATGCTCAGCCAGCCAGCACACCTTCTCCACTGGATAGTAGATGTTGTCGACAATATTGGCAAGTAGTCCCATCACAGCCATAGCCTTGTCCGGCTCCTTGTGACCCAAGCCGTATCTCAGCGTGTGCTGGAACATTGGCCAGTCATCCAGGAGTCTCAGTGTGGCCCTGGTGGCACTCATTTTTGAGCTGAAGATGCCCAATTTCTTGGAGAAATCGGGATTGGCACTCTCGTACAGGCCACAGGCGAGCTTGGTGGTGTAACATAGTGTTCTGATTACCTGAAAGAGAAGCAGTGAGAGTTGTTGACATTTTTCGCTTTTGGAAACACTCCATCGAAAAAGAATCCGGGTTTGTAGAGGAACAGGTTTTAGAGCAGGAAGAGATTTCTCAAGAAAATGAGCGACATTTGTGAATTCATTGAGCAAATTTGATTGATTTTCAAATAGAAGGGCTTAGCGGGCTTAGCGAGGGGTGGTTAATTTAATTGGAAATTTGCCTGTGTGAGATAATTGATGCAATGATGAGAAGCAAAGGCGGGGAGTGAGGAGATTCTGAAGGTTAATTATATGAGGAGGAATGTGATTTAATATTTTTAATGCCTCCACTTTTATCAGCTACTTTCCGCGATAAAAGGCGCGTAAATCTGTGATTGGCAAAAAATCACACTGGTTTTTACGCGAGCCTCTCTTTCGGTGAGATATGTTTTGCTGATATTTTGTTCACTTGAAGTCACATGAAGGATTAGTTTGGGCGAGTTGGGCAATATATCACTCAAGGAATTGAGGAGGAATTTCACATATCGAGTGTTGAGTAGAATTCTCTCCGGAAAACGAGACATAAAATATTAAAGCTGCGTGTAGAAATTGTTGTTTGCCGATCTGAAGCAATATCTCATGAATTGTCTATGAGGTATTTCGATAGTGGTTCAATTGATTGGACTTTCACCTTGTCACGCCCGCCATAGGTATCGAGCATATCACAGAACTCGTCAAGTGAACTTCTCTTCATCGTGGCTCTTTATTCACTTTCACACTTCAGAAGTATTTTCACCGAGTTTGAAATCGCAACTGAGCCTCGTCATGGTCAAAAGGTGTCCATAAACTCGGCTGTTGTTCTCTCTGTTTATATCCTCCTTTCTAATCGTGTGCGCTGTCTCTCTTTTGCTCTGACATTCTCCTCTCTATGTTTCGATGTTTTTCTTTTCATAGTTTTCTGTGCGTCTATCAGCTGATTCTGACACATCCACGCACAACAAAACAAAGAGAGACAGAGGAAAATTTCACCAGCTGCAAGTCATTGTATAAATAGCATTTTATATTGAAATTTTGTAGAAAATTTTGACATCTTGAGTGAGGGAAGAAGTGCTAAATTGGGAAAATGGTAAGATGAATGTGTTTACGGGATTGCGAGTGGAGTGGATATTGCAATTGTCGCCTTCTTTCACCAGTTTCAATTTGGGGGCTTAAACATGATGTTTCCGGACCTCAATCGTCCCTTCAACAATCACTACAATTGCTATTCTGTGTCAATGTTGCCCGGAAATGAGAGGCATGATGTTGAGAAGGGCGGAAAGAGTGAGTAGACAAGGATTTTGAGTATATCGAAGTGTGGTGCACAACTTAACCTCTTCGCATTGCAGTTATAATGCCTTCATCGGCCCTGGATCAGCTCACCAGGCTGAATGTTGAGTACCCTATGCTCTTCAAGTTGACCAACAACAAGAAGAATCGCGTTACTCACGCTGGCGTCCTTGAGTTTGTCGCAGATGAGGGAAAAACGTATTTGCCGTACTGGATGATGAGGAATTTGTTGCTGGAAGAGGGCGAAATGATCCAGATTGAGAGCTTATCTCTGCCTGTGGCGACATTCTCAAAGTTTCAGCCGCAAAGCCCGGATTTTCTGGACATAACCAATCCAAAAGCTGTTCTCGAAAATGCTCTGAGGAATTTCGCGTGTCTCACCACAGGCGATCTGATCGCCATCAAGTACAACTCGCGAATCTATGAGTTGTGTGTGCTGGAGACACGACCGGGAAATGCTGTGACCATCATCGAGTGCGACATGAATGTGGAGTTTGCTCCACCGGTGGGCTATACGGAGCCGCAGATGGAGAGGAACGAAGATGAACCGATGAAGGATGATGCTGAGCATTTGGCTGAGTTGCAGGGCTTTGTGGCCTTCTCTGGCGAGGGAAATCGTCTGGATGGGAAGCAAAAGAAGGCAGACAGTTCCGATCTTGTGCTGCCTAAGAAAGCTTACACACGAGGAATTCCCGACTATGATCATCCATACGGACTTCTCAAGTTTGATCGCAGTGCGAGACCAGACAGAGGCAATGGTGAGGCTAAGGATGATCATGATGACTTCCAGATGTTCCAAGGACAAGGATTTTCTCTGCGAAAGAGCCGGAAGTGAATGAAATGGTCATGTTTGCGAGCACAAGAGGAGTTTATTTAAAAGATAAGGCGTGCTGTGTTTATTTGGTGAACTGGAGGGGTTCAATATTGAGTCGCTTCGCGAGATTGTCGCAGGTTTTGAGTTGATTCTCATGGTAATTAATTCCACCGCTCTTCTTGACTTTCGCCATGTGCGCCTTCTCGGGATCACCGGCGACGAGAACGGGTTTCTCAGGGTCGGACGGTGGTAAATCACGCAAGAGTCTGTTCAAATCTGTGAGACGATCGGAGAATCCGGGAGCGAAGCAGTTCGGATCCACTGCGATGAAGCATTGACCGAGATTTGCGGCCTCATCGTTTCCAGCGTGAGTCCACTTACGGATGTTTGAGGCGTAGTTGGAGCCACTCATGATGCCGCACATTACCTCAACCAGAGCTCCCAAGCCGTAGCCCTTGTAGCCCGAGGTGAGCTCCTCCCCGCCCAAAGGCATCAAGCAGCCAGTTTCGAAGGCCACACTGGCGTCTGTTGTTGGCTGGCCCGAAGGATCCTGCGCCCAGCCCTTGGGAATTGGCTCATTCTTCCTCCGCTGCATCTCGATTTTCCCAACAGCGACTGCTGTGGTGGCCATGTCGAGTATGAAGCTGTCCCCGTTGCTTCCTGGTGCAGCGAGAGACAGAGGATTGGTGCCCAGGGCTGCTTCTTTGCTCCTTGTTGGGCTCATGAGGGGAGAAGTGTTGGTCATGGATATCCCGACGAGACCCTCATTAAGGGCACGAAGAGTATACCACGCAGCAATCCCATAATGATTCGATCCTGAAATTTAATCAGTTCATTCATCGTCCTTGTGTTTGAATGATCTTCTACCTTTTGCGCAAGTCCATCCCACTCCAACTGTCTTTGCCTTCTTTATGGCGAGGTCCATGCAGAAGTTCCCCACAACCACTCCCAATCCATGAGCCCCGTCAACCCAGGCAGTTGCTGGAGTCTCATTTAAGATCTTTGGTACTGCATTGCCATCCGTCGTTCCCTCCTTCAGATCGTTGATGTACATCTCTGCAAAAGAGAGGTTGTAAATTTTCCTATTTATCGTATGATTCTCAACTGACCCAATCGATTCATTCCATGGCTAAAGTGTCCACGAAAATCCGCCTCGATGAGTAGATCTGCCATTGCCTGAGCATTTTCACTCTTCACTGTTGCTGCCACGAAGCAATCCTTGACGAATCTCTTCGCCTCCTCTACAGCCACAAGATTTTGCTCCATTTTAACTGACGAGGGAAAAAGAGAGAAAGTGAAAATTTTGCTGAGTAAATTAATCCATTAAACTTTTTTTTTCTCTTATCTGTGCCATTTCACCTTGAGATATTCCTCTGTAGACGAAATGCGAACTGGTGTATTTAGCCGTTGATGCTATAATGATGTGGGTTCGCCTAATCAGACACTGGAGAGTCATTTTGCTACTGAATAATTTATCAATCACAGAGATATTAGGCAAAAGACGGGTCTCTTCTGAGATATCGCAACGAATTTTTATTTTGGCCTCTCTTTTTTGAATGTGTATTTGTATGTCACGTGTTTTTGACACCGGTATTTTGGTTATATTCTTCAATTCTATGAGCTTCATTTGCAGTGGTGAAAAGTGTGAAAAGCTCTGGGAAAAGGATGAATTTTCCACCTAATCTAAGTGAACCTCCACCTGGGTATCCTCGAATGCTTCCCAGAACCATTCCACCACCATCTGTGGGCGGAGGAAGTGAAGATTTGAGCTTTCCCATGAGAAATCCTCCGCCGGGATACTATGGAGGACAGGAACAAACTAAATCGACGAACGCTCAAGGATCTCTGCAGAGTTCCAAGCAGTACTCAACTCCTTCGTCTTCATCCGGCTCAACACGGGAAGGCAGCAGCTCGAGGAGTTCCAGAGCGTCTAGTCTGGAGAGGAAGCGTGAGTCTGAGCGGAGAATGCATCGCGGCAGAAGTTCCTTTCACACTCGCCATCGATCTCCATCGTCGAGGGAGCACGAGAGGCGCTCGAGGAGTGAGAAGAGCAAGGAGAGGCGCTCAGAAGAGCCCCGGAGGGAGCGCAGGAGTTGCAGTCAGAGCCAACGTGCTGAGCCGAAGAAGAAGGAAACGGAGAGGGAATTGCTGTTGGCCAAGTGGCGACGCAACTATTGTGAGACTTCTGAGGATATTACCAGGAAGCTGGCTGAGTTGGCCGATGACAAGGAAAAGGAGCACTGGATACGCTCCTCCCCTGCGGATGTGTACTACAAGAGGGTGTCTGAGAATGTGGTGGAGGGAACAACTCGACTGGACGCTCTCTGCTCCCTGTTCGAGGTGGAGCTTGTTCAGAGAGCTGAGAAAATCAAGGACAGTCAGACGCCATACAATCCACCACCGAGAAAGAGAAAGACTCGCTTCTGCAGGCACAAATCGGAGAAATGTTCCTCATCCGACTCATCAGATGACGATTTGGATCTTGAGGAGGACTGCACTATGGAGGAATTGTCGAGAAAGATAAACCATCCTTATCGACTGCACACGGATCTTTGGTACAATGAAGCTGGAGAGATGAATGATGGTCCACTTTGTCGATGTTCAGCTAAGTCCCGACGAAGTGGCATTCGCCATGGGATTTATCCAGGAGAGAATGGCTTTCCCAAGTGTCAACTGAACAGCAATAATGCTGACAGGCTCTATCACTATCGTATTACCATATCTCCGCCTACAAATTTCCTCACCAAGACTCCTACCATCATCAAGTATGATCAGCACGAGTTTCTCTTCGAAGGATTCTCTCTCTTGTCGCATGTGCCGATTGGGGAGCTTCCCACCTGCAAGGTGATTCGCTTCAACATTGAGTACACGGTTTTGTACATTGAGGAGAAGATGCCGGAGAATTTCACCATCAGGGAGTTGGATTTGTTCTATGCATTTCTGTTCACTGAACTTCTGGAGCTGGTGGACTTTAATCTACGACCGAACAATACTGCCACGGACATTTGTCCCTTCTTCCACTTCCTGCCGCGCTTCGTTCGCGACCTGTCGGATAATGGGAAGGAGGTGCTGGCCATGAGTGAGGTGCTGAGATATCTCCTGGACAATTCTGGACTGCTCGTGGACCGACGCACACTGGCCGACATGATGCACATCAATCAGAATATCTGGCAGGATTATGTGGACGACATCAAGGGAATGGTGGTGACAAATCCGGGCATGAAGCCTTGCTCCGTGAGGGTGGATCAGTTGGACAGGAACGTCTCGGATTTGCCAGAATGTCGCGACAGTGACGGCGTTGTGCATCCAGTGATCGTTCACTTTGGAATCAGGCCACCTCAGCTGAGCTATGCTGGGAATCCTGAGTACCAGAAAGCGTGGCGAGAATACGTCAAGTACAGACACTTAATCGCTAACATGTCGAAGCCCACGTACGATGATAAGAGGCGTCTGGAAGCAAAAGAGGCAAAGTTGCAGGAAATGCGGATGTTGGGACGCATGAAGAGGAACATCACAGTGGCTGTGAGCTCCAAGAGTTTTCACAGAACTGGGATTATGTGCGATATGGTTCAAGTGAGTAATATTGTGGGATTTGTCTAGAAAATTTCACTGCTAAAGTAAATATTACTCTTTCAGCATGCGATGCTCATCCCAGTGCTCACTTGCCATCTTAGATTCCATCGCTCTCTGGATGTTTTAGAGGAGAATATTGGGTATAAGTTCCAAAACCGATACCTTCTTCAACTTGCTCTCACACATCCGTCGTACAAGGAGAACTTTGGCACGAATCCCGATCATGCTAGGAATAGTTTGACGAACTGTGGCATTCGTCAGCCGGAATATGGAGACAGGAAAATCCACTATATGAATACCAGGAAGAGGGGAATCAACACCCTCATAAATATTATGTCGAGATTCGGGAAAGAATACGAGACGGACAGTAATATTACTCACAATGAGCGATTGGAATTCCTTGGGGACGCTGTTGTGGAATTTCTCACCTCGATTCATCTCTTCTTCATGTTCCCGGATCTCGAGGAAGGCGGTTTGGCCACATATCGTGCGGCAATTGTGCAAAATCAGCACTTGGCCGTTCTGGCAAAGGTGAATTTGCAATTAATTCCATAGCTAAGTTGCTGATTATTGTTAATTTTTTCAATTCTAGAAATTACATCTCGAGGAGTTTATGTTGTACGCTCATGGATCTGATCTGTGCCATGAGCTGGAATTGAGACATGCGATGGCAAATTGCTTTGAAGCTCTTATGGGTGCTCTTCTTCTCGACGGCGGAATAGAAGTGGCCGATAAGGTTTTTGCCTCGGCGCTGTTCCTGGAGGCGGATGATCTCAAGAAGATCTGGGAAAACAATCCTCCGCATCCGCTGCAAGAACAGGAACCCCTTGGCGATCGTCAGTGGATTGGTTCGTATCAAATGCTGCAGAATCTCACGAAATTTGAAGATTCAATTGGAGTAAAGTTCCGCCACATTCGCCTCTTGGCCAGAGCCTTCACGGATCGTAGTATTGGATTCACCCACTTGACGCTCGGATCGAATCAGCGTCTGGAATTCCTCGGAGACACAGTTCTGCAGCTCATCTGCTCGGAATACCTGTACAGGCATTTTCCTGAGCATCACGAAGGCCACTTGTCTCTGCTGAGGAGTTCTCTGGTGAATAATCGCACTCAAGCTGTGGTGTGTGACGATCTCGGCATGACTCAGTATGCTGTCTATTCGAATCCGAAGGCGGAGCTGAAGACCAAAGATCGGGCAGATCTGCTGGAGGCATTCCTAGGTGCGCTTTACGTGGACAAAGGGCTCGAGTACTGCCAGACGTTTTGCCATGTGTGCTTGTTTCCACGACTCAATGTGTTCATCATGAACCAGGACTGGAACGATCCCAAGTCGAAGCTGCAACAATGCTGTCTCACATTGAGGTCGATGGACGGGGGCGAGCCCGACATCCCGGTGTACAAAGTCATAGAATCTATTGGACCGACAAACACACGGGTTTACACGGTGGCAGTGTACTTTCGAGAGAAACGTCTCGCGTGCGCCACAGGTCACAGTATCCAGCAGGCAGAGATGAATGCGGCTAAGAAGGCGCTGGAAAACTCCCAGGATCTCTTCCCTCAGCTTGACCACCAGAAGCGTGTGATTGCTCGGAGTGTGAAGCGCCAGAAGGGATCGTCGATGGAGTCAAAGAGGAGGGATATTCCACTAGATGGCTTGGGTATTGATAAGAAGTTCAGTCTCTTTGATGACAGCAATCTGCCGAAGCAGTATAGATCCAGGGAGGATATTTCAAGCGAGGAGGACTTCTCGGACAGCGAATCCAGCAGTAATGACAGCTCAATGAGTAGCTTAAGCGAAAAATCCGTTAAAGTGAGGCCAGTGAAGAGCAGAAAACGAAAGCGATCTCCTGACAATGAGGACTCCAAGGAGGATCTTCAAGATATTCTAAGTTCAGTGTCTGATGAGGAGATGCCAGAGGAGAAAGTGACTTACGAAGATGCTGCTGAGATCTACAAAGTGGCAGGAACGGAGGATTTGTCGTCTGATCTGGAATCTGGAGAGCTCGTCTAAAAGTTTCCATAAAAATAAAGACTTTTGCGTCGTTTTGCGGATGAATTTGAACTTTGGTCGTGAGCATGTGCGGATAACTGGATAGAAAAGAGCAGAGATATAGTGACAGCGCCAGAGCGAGATGACTATCGGGTGCTCCTGCCTTTCACATCGGCGCCACGAGGTGACTTGACAGCCAGAGTTTTCCGGTGGTGTGCTGTGAAAATAGTATTTCACAATACATTAGTTGTTTGTCGTCAATCGCAGCAGCAGTTAGTTGTGAAAATTGTGCTGAAATTGTTTGTTGAGGAGTATCTGGTGTGCAGCTGAGGAAAGAAACTTGTACCAAGGCACACGAGCTGAAGCAGAGTGGTCGGAAGCATAAAAAAGCAGACGCACACAAGACACCCGAGGAGAATTTGCGAGTAGTTTGCTGCGAGGAGAGATAAGGAGAAGATGGCTAGTGGTCAGGCATTACTGAATGGAGACGATAAGCATGCCAGGAAGGGCGTCACCGTGGTCCTGGGCGCCCAGTGGGGCGATGAAGGCAAGGGAAAGGTCGTGGATATGCTCGCCACGGGCATGGACATTGTGTCTCGGTGTCAGGTGAGTTGTTTTGCAATTGTTGTACTTCTGCCCAATGCTCTTTGGCAATCATGTGACTGTGACTCGCCACAGAGTTCTATTCTGGCCTCAATACTCTCTCACTCCAAAAAGTTATACATATCTCTTGCATAAGAACTCCGCTAGGCATTCATACCTACCAAAATATTAAACAATTTCTCTCATTGTTGGCCAATCAGACAGTCTCTCAGACAGGGGGTGTGTGAGGAAAAAGAGGGGGTGTGTAGATCCCCTTTTGTGATTTTCCACACAAGTCATCGTGCATTGGGAAATATGTTCTGGACAGTGGCAGAGTGAAGTTCCGATGGATGGAAAAATGGGTGAGAAGAATATTGCAAAAAAGAATAGTTTGTGCGCCTGATCTAATAGCAAGAATTCTTCTCTTTCAGCCACACAAAAGACTCTTCCATAATAATTCCCGTGACATCATTCTCAGACTCAAAAACTGAGTCAAATGAAATCGTGGCTTTTTGTCCCAAATATGGCCAGTATCTCGCACCCGCTGGGAAGTATGTGATGTTTGACGGAGTAAGGCACTAAATGGGGAGAACTTGAAAAAATTCTCTCTGTCAGACTCTTTACGTAAGCGAATTACGCTAATCGCTCGTTTTTTGTTGCCTTCTTTTTAAAGTCCATTCATGTGATCTGTTTGTTTCTCTCTTTTTTTCTCCTTTTCCCGCGCTCACCCATACAATTTATGGGCTCGTCACAGCTCATCTATTTACCTCCATTCTTCCTCTCTCCATTGCTCATCACAATTATTACTTATTTTTTTTCCTACATCACGAACAGCTGGAAGCGCTCTGCTCACATCTAGGCTCTCAATTTGCAAAGTTGTTTTTTTTTCCCACCCAGAAAGAATTTGTGCACTTTTTCTCTGAAGCTTTTATTTTGCATTTAAATTTAACTTTGAGCTCTATATCTTTGTTGCCTTTTTCCTTGCCATTGCTGGGAGGGGGGCGTGGCGGGAGAAAAAAAAATCCGAGAAGCTCCCAGGCTGTGTCCCTGGCCAAATTATTAAAAAAAATTGGCACTGTGCCAAGTCTATTTGATTCTTGTTACGAAACAGCGCGCACTCACACAGTGAGGGGCCCGTCTTTTGGTTCTCACGAGTGGCGAATAAACATGTAAGAATGTGAATTTTCCACCCACATTTTCCCGAGGGTGGGCAAGAGGAGATGAGGCGCACGTGTGAGTGGATAAGGTATGCTTTTAGCAAGTGTCATGGGTCTGAGAAGGCCCTCGAGGAATGCAAAAGATCAGGCTGGGTATCACTTTCCCTCCCTCGGCGTGTGCTCAAGTTCAATGTCGAGCTGTTGACCGTCGCTCAAGTGCGACTGTTGAGTTGTGGCACAGAAGAGGAGGAGAGAGAGAATGAAATTGAGGCCAGTGCAATTGAAAGGCGTGTGAGATAGTAGTATAGAGAAGAAAGAAAGAAAAAAAGATGCAGAAATTTCTCACTACTCAATCATTGAAATTATATCAATTCATTCCATTTTCGCAGGGAGGCAACAATGCTGGTCACACAGTGTGTGTGAATGGCGTGGAATATGACTTTCATCTGCTTCCCAGTGGGATTATCAATGAGAAATGCGTATCAGTAATTGGTGAGTATTGGAGGAATGCTAATGTCTCTCTATTTACTTTTTGCCGCGCTGATAGCACATGATGTTATGCTATCAACTGCGCGCTTATCGATTACAAAATAAGTGACACTCTTGACACGAACAGAGGAAGACTGAGAGAAATTTACTTTCAATACTCTAATGATAAGCAGCGATGTGCTTTTACATTGTAAATGTTGGATTTTGCACCGTTTCGTATGTTATTTTTGCAAACCATATTTGTTGACAGACACATGAGATCATCGATCAAGGAAATACTCGTGGAGCATAGTTAGTTTATACAGTAGATTAGGGTTAAATTGGTTAAATAATCACGCTTTAGAGCTGAAGATCGTAATTTTTTTTTAATAGATTTTATGTGTCTTGCAAAATGTGATGATAAATTGCTGTCAGCATTTCTGCTGTGGTTTCACTTGAGCCAAAATTGCATTGTATAAATATTTGTGAAACAGTTATTTTTTTCTTATATATACAATTGACAAAGTATATCTCTCATCAGCACATACAGAAAGATGAAAATACTGTATGAAATAGAGGCGTAAAAAATGTTCATCACTGCTGATAAAACACACGTAATGACTGTAAACAGTCGCAGTGGGTGAAAAAATTTATCAACTCCGTGAGTTGACAAGGAAAAGACAGTAAAAAGCTGCATCGCTACAGTAAATTTTCAATTTTCTGTGTCACTTCACTGGTTTTAGCCTCTATACGTTGTGATAGCGCAAGATTATCACCCATCAGTGGAATTGTCTCTTGAAGATGATGCGGAAAAGAGAGATAATATTGTGATGATTCTGCTGTTTTGCTCAATTCTTGAGTGGAGAGATGATAACGTGTAAATAGAACCCAATTAACACGGATATTTTATTGAAGTCAAAGTTCAAAATTAACACGACAGCAAAAATTATTAGCTTATGGTTGGGTTAAATTTAAACCCGTGACTTCCTTTTGGCAATTTGCAAAGTCTACCAAATATCTCTTGTGCAATTTAGATAAGATAATCCACTCTCTCTCTCTCTCTGTTTGTGGATAAATGATTGAGTAAGATTTTTTTTGTTGCGAGTCGAGTGGAAAAATAAATAGGCAAGAAGATAGCAGAAAAAATCCCCTTGAAAAGTGCTGAAGAGAGCAAAGAAAAAGCAGTGGATATGAAAACTAATTGATTTTAATTAGTTTATGTGGTTCTCTCTCTCTCTCTTCTTACTGATGAATCTCACTTGAATTTTTGCTATTGTAGCATTTTTTGGGTCATGGTTCTCAGAATTGTGAACCTCTCGTTAATTGAAAGTCAATATCTATCTATAATCTTGCTTTGCCACTGCTTAATGAGAGTGGCTAGTAAGTAATGTATAAAACTCTTGCCTTTTTCCCTGACAAATTGAAATGGGAATTAGATAAAATGCGAAGCAAAACGAGAAATTTATCGATGAAACAAGAGAGAAGGAGAATTTATGACATTTTCTTACAATACCTTTAAATAATTCAATGAGAAACGGTGAAAAGGCGGAAAAGAAAATTCATAGTTGAATTATTTCCGTCCTTTCCATCACGTTAAATAATGCAAAAAGCCTTCGAAGTTTATTAAAATAAAATTTCGAGGCCATTTGGTATCTTTAGCACCAATTGGTTGTAAGTTTTTCATGAGGAGGAGTGAATCCTTCGTGTATATGTACATATATATTCTCATTACTGCAAATGTAATGGAAGAGGAGGGTGAAAGTTTAACAAAATGCGTCTATTTTGGGATCAGTTCGTGACAGCGCATTTAACTCAATTGCATGTCATCGCTGAATTGTCCCTGAAGAATATTATTAACACATTGAAAACGGCAAACAATCGACAATTAAGTAATATGGCAAATTGATGATGATTTTAATGAATCTTGTTTGCAGGAAATGGCGTTGTCATCCACTTGCCGGGCCTGTTTGATGAGTTGAAGAAGAACGAAGCCAAGGGTCTGCAAGGCTGGGAGAAGCGCTTGATTGTCTCAGATCGTGCTCATCTTGTGTTTGACTTCCATCAGCAGGTCGATGGTCTGCAGGAGGCGGAGAAGGGTGGCAAATCTCTGGGCACAACAAAGAAGGGCATTGGACCGACATATTCGAGCAAAGCCACAAGGAATGGAATCCGAGTGGGTGATCTTCTCGGGGATTTTGAACTCTTCAGTGAGAAACTACAAGCTTGCGTTTCACTCTATCAGCGAATGTTTCCCGAGCTCAATGTTGATGTGAAGAGCGAACTCGAGAGATATAAGGAATTTGCTGAGAAGTTGAGACCTCTTGTTGGCGACACTGTTTTCTACATGCACAGAGCTATTCAGGAGGGAAAGAAGGTGCTCGTCGAAGGAGCAAATGCCGCTATGCTGGACATTGATTTTGGCACTTATCCTTACGTGACGAGCAGCAATTGCAGTATCGGCGGAGTCCTGACTGGACTCGGTCTTCCACCTCAGGTGATCAGTGATGTTGTGGGTGTGGTGAAGGCGTACACAACCCGCGTGGGAGATGGCCCATTCCCGTCAGAGCAGCGCAATGTAAGGCCCATTATTTTTTTTCTCTAATTGAGGTAAAAGAAAGTCAATTAATATTGCTGTATTGACTTTTCAGGAAATTGGTGACACTCTGCAGTCGCGTGGCTTCGAAATTGGCGTGACGACTAAGAGGAAAAGACGCTGTGGTTGGCTGGATTTGGTTCTCCTGCGCTACACCTCCATTGTCAATGGATACACACATTTGTGCTTAACAAAGCTCGACATTCTGGACACGCTGAAGGAGATAAAGGTGGCCGTCGGGTATAAATTGAATGGCAAGCGGCTAGAGTACTTCCCGGGATCTGTCACTGATCTCGCCAATGTGGAGGTGGAGTATGCCACGCTTCCTGGATGGGAGACTTGCACGGAGAACGTGAGGGAGTTCAGTCAACTGCCGAAGAATGCCCAAGACTATGTGCGGTTTATTGAGAAGGACCTCAAAGTGCCCGTGAAGTGGGTTGGCGTGGGCAAAGGCCGGGAGTCTATTATAAATGTGTAACTTTGGGGCGAGGCGGAGAAGGAGAGCACCAAAAAGCAAAAGACACCGTCGACAATACACCCCCTCCCCTTTGGAAGAAAACTGATCAATTGGCAAAATTGCTTGAAAGCGATGAAATTGAAGAGAAAGAGAAAGTTGAAGTGGACTTTTTGGAAATAGGAATACTTTTTAAATGTTCTTTTCTTGTCCCTGCTGGCGCTGCAACGCATACATTTTTACTATATAATATAAAATTTTATATTCACTGGAGGAATTTGCAAGTTTGAGAGATGATAAAAAAATGTTAATGTACAAAAACAAAGGTCTCCTTTTCAGCGCTACACTTTTTGCTGCAAATTTGAAGTTGAAAGGCGCTAAATGCCATTGTCGCAATGCAACTTAATTAATTTTATTGAACATTGTGAATGGTATTTTTTTTTTCTTTTATTCTAAAGTATAATAAAAATATTTAATATGTAAAAATATACAAGAGATGAAAAATAAGTTTGGATTTTCTATTGATTTGCGGTTCAAATATTGTTGTAAATGTTTTAAAATATAAATTATGATGTGTTTTCTTGTATTGTTTAATTCCAGGGAATCCATCGAAGACACGAGACTTAAGGATTTTTCTCCAAGACGCAGAACGAATCAATCAAAAGTATGTAAAAGGTAAGCAAAATTTTCGATTGAGTTGCCTTTTGAGTCACATCAGGAGATATTTCCGCGAAACTGCTTTAATCTTCTAATAAATTTCAAGTGTGAATGTGCGTTGACTTATGAAATTTCTCTCATAAATTTATATATTCACTTGAAGATCACTCGGCACGTTGGCGATAAATGAGTGCAACTCTCTGAGCAGGTTTGTTATGAAATCTATTAATTCACCTCATCATTCACGTGCAGAATCTTTCCAAACACTTCATGTTGTTCATTGAATTTCATCGTAAACACACTGTTCAATTAATTAGCGGCAAATTGAAACAAATGGCTTGCAGATTCACGCTTATTTTGTACACGTAATTTGTAAATACGAGCATCATTGAAGTTTCTTACAAAATCAGTCTCATTACCAGAAGAAATTGGCGTGCAATTTGTTCATGGAGAGCGAGTCCTTGTGGAAATAGGGGATGATGAAATTGATTAAACAACCTGTTCGCGGTGACTTAATGAGTGACTCAGTGGAAATTTTCCATTGAGAAAGATGTCGCGCTGAAGATCACTGATCACATCGGCTTTCTGTGATTGTGGGTGTTTACAGGCGACAGACGGCCTCCTGGAACATTCACCTGCTTCGTGATGACTGTGAGGGCTGTTGTCGACGGAGATTGAAGCATGAAATGACGAGGAACAATCAATTCATCATGTAAGAGGTGAGTGCAGATGGAGTTATGGAAAAAATTGAGGCATAACTCTCTCCCTTCTTTTTATGGCTTTTGCACTCTACAAAACAATCACCTTGTCTATTAATTCATCTCTTGATGCGCAAAGTGTGAGCACATGTAGTGAAATTTAGTTGAAATGTTCAGAAGAATGAATGAAATTGTTCATTTTGCTTTGGGGAATTTTTCATAGATTGTGTGAAATTTAGATAAAATCTGCGCCCTTAAATTGGGTGCTCTATTGTTGGTGGAGATTGAAAAAAGAGAGCGATTTGTGTGTTTGTATGGCAAAAAGATTTCGATGTCAATGAACTACAGTCCGGGAGTTTCACTCACTCCGATGGAGAGGTGAAATTGGACATGAGGCGTCGCGGTGTGTTTGTTATAAAAGAGCCCTGAGTGAGAGTGAAACCGCTCAGTTGTTTAGCTGACCAGTGCTGAGTGCGATTGTCTCATCATGAGGATTTTCCTTGCGATTTTCATCCTTCATCTCACCACTTGCTGGGCAGGTGACGCCCAGCCGGAAGTCTTCTCGTGGAAGGCTCTTGAGTGGACGGACGTGGAGACGACGGGAACAGTCGGTGGTTATCCTTTCTACTCTGCCAGTGGGAATCATCCGTCAGGAGTTGCATATCATGCCAAGAGTGGGGCAATGATTGTGACTATTCCACGTCGTCAACCAGGAATTCCAGCTACAATTGGCGCCTTCTGCGTTAAGGACTGGAAGAAGGGCAGCAGTCCCAAGGCTTTCCCAATCCCAAGTGCAGAACTCAATGTGCTCAAGGAGGGATTCTTCAGTGAGGCCAAAGAAATGACTTCCGCGGAAAGTGTGTCGAGGAAGACGAGGGATGTTAAAGGAGAAAAGCCCATTGTATCAGTCAGCACCCCAATAATCGACAGCAAGTGCAACAGATTGTGGTTCCTAGACACTGGAGTCATTTTCTATCCTGACCAGATAATTGTGGTGCATCGTCCTTCCCTCTGGGTGGTTCAATTGCCGGAGAAGAGCTGCTCCAAGGATGCCTTTAAGGTGATCAAGAGGATAGAGTTCAGTGAGGATCAAGTGGGCGATATAGCTGGTTTGGCTGATTTGGCTCTGGACTTTGCCAAGAATGGCACTTGTGATGATGTTCACGTGTACATCCCAGATTCCATCGGACGGCAAATTATCGTGCATGATTATCGCGCGGAAAAGACTTGGACTTTCAATGAACACTACTCATTCGATCCCGTGATTCGAGAGAGTGCAATTCTTGCCGGAGATCATCAATATGTTATTGAGGAGGGCATAAATTCCATCACATTGGGCTGGCGGGACTCCTTAGGCTACAGGGCAGCCTACTACATTCCCCTGTCGGGAACTGGTCAATTTGCTACATCGACACAGGTGTTGAAGGATGAGTCTAGGGCACAGACGAATTTCCATCCTGAGGATTTCAGACTCATCGGTTATCGCGGTCAACAGCTTCAGGCCAATCGTCATGCATTTGACCCGAAGAATGGAGTTATCTTCTACGCTGATGCCCAAGAGCAGAGTATCAGGTGCTGGAATGTGAGGCGTCCACTCACTCCTGATCACATTGGAGTTACCAATTTCAATGCCACAGACGTTGAAGGATTAGACCTTTCGGTAAGTTCTCTTCGTTTATCTTCTTGAATCTGTAACAAATATGATTATCCTTGTAGATTGACTCCCGCGGACAGTTGTGGATACTCGCCAATAGACCCTTGAAGTTCAGAGTGTCTGGAATGGACACCAAAGAAGTGAATGCAAGACTTTTCCGTGTCTCTGTGGACGAAGCCATTCAAGGAACTGCCTGTGAAGACTCCAGTGCTTTAACTGAGGGATTCAAAGAGAGTGAGAGAAATGTTTATGAAGACACAGAGGATTTTATTCATTGAATTTAACATGAAATGTTATTTAATAGATTGAAGGATTCCTGGGGGAATTCTGTGATTTAGACGATTTCCCACTGTTTACTAATAAAATCGTACCCCTAATCCAAGTGAAGTGTTAATGTTTTCCTTAAGAAGCGGGAAACTCCATCACACTTGCCTTCTTATGCTCTTCTAGCGATCGCACACAGTACCGCGAATAATATTGTCAATATGTGAGCGATAGAGAATGTAAACATAGCTTCGAATTACTGGATTATACACTGAAGTGTCCAGGAGATCGAAGTCTATTTTTGTGAGCATAAACCAAAGATTTCTTTCGTCGTCTATGAAAATATCTCCGCCAAATTGCAAATCACTGAATAGTGTGGCCACATTTTTCGACACAAGGGGTTTATTTGAATTCCAACAGGTCAGTTTATTGGTGAGCAAGTGAATGAAGAAAACAACTTGAGTCTTCTCATCGAATGCCATCATCACTTGACTTTGTGGGCCACGATAGCCAATGTAGGAAAAGTCTGGCGACGAAGGATCTCCTGGAGCTTTACTTGCGTCTCTCAGAACTTCTGTGTTTGTCTTGAAAAGACCAAAGCTTGTTCCCGGAGCATAAAAGACATCCCTAAACGCGAATCGGGTTTTTAAACCAAGTGTAATTCCCAATATTCCAAAAGAAACTTGATCTTGAGGCTGAATGTGTTCGAATACAAAGGGTTTCTCAGCGACTGGATCGAATGTCTTATGCTTCATGTACCAGAAGTTTCGCTTTGTATTGTCATAAACAATTATGCTGTTGTCCTTGCAATTGACTATATAGACGGCAAATTGATTACATGACCCATAAACATCCACGACAAGATCATAGAGTCCTGTGGCATCGTTTACCACATTATCAGGAATTGCAACTTTGAGCACTGGTGATTTGTCCAAGGACTTTTGATCACATCCATCAACTTTAAATCCCCAAAGAGTTGGGCGGCGAATCACGATATTTCCCTCGAGATATTGCAAGGTTCCAGTGTCTATGAAAAACAATCGGGAGCATTTAGGGACTAGAAAAGTATTATAAATCGATATAAAATGATAGACACTTCGGCCAAGAGGCGTTAATAAAGGTTTTGGAATTGGCTTTGTTAGTTTATTGGGAGGAAAGAAAGGAGGGACATAATGGGGTTTATGAGTGGTTCGGCGAACTGCTCTGAACGATTTTGTCGATGACTTATTCTGCATTTCCTGTTCACCATTGACATAATCGTCATATACTATTTCATCAATTTCAAGTGAAGGTTCACTCATGTCCATTCTAGCTTTAGAAGAGGCAGGATAAATATTGCGGTCACTTTCTCGAAGATGATTAACTCCGTACCAACCCTGAAGAGAGGAAAAGAGTTTTTATGTAATATTCAATCACTAAACGAATTCTTTGATGCAATCGTACGGGAACATAGTTGTCTTCACACGTGGGAAAACAACTCAGACGAGGAGAAGATTGATCGTGATATCCTAAGTTGTATATGAACGTCATTGTGGCTGGGATTCCTGGTTGCACCCTTGGAAAGGCCATGAACAGACAATCATATTTCGTGTGATATGCAAAAGAAGTCGCTAGAACATTTTTACTAGTGTAGTATTTATGTCCTCCTGCATCCGAGAATGCTGAAGAGAAAAGATATAATTTTATTCAACTATGACCGAGTTTTTTTTTTAACACTCTAATGAACTCACGACTTTGTGGGAGTGAATCATATTCAAATGAATTCCATTTGAATACTTTCTGAACTATTTTAGATGAGAAATTATCACTTCTTGCAAGTGGATTTTGTATCACAAGTATAACAATAAGCGAAATTAGAAACATTGTTGAGTTGCTTCTGCTTTCACCATTGAATGCTGTCACACTGATTTGGTGGAAAGTTCTTTCCTTATATGCGACAAAGGGAAAAAAGACCAACAGAAGATGTATGGATTAGAAAGAGAGTTTATTGACCACCAACACATGCTCTAAACAGATTCTATGAATACGGAATTCATTTTGGCAATGAAACCTGTTTGATTTTATGTTCCTAAAGAGATTCTCTGACGCCTAAGAAATTTCATTCTGTTCAACCACATTTTCATATAGATTGTCTTGAGATGCATTTTCTACGTGGGTTTCACATATTACATCAAATTCTAAGTGGATCACATACAGTATCGCGAATGATATCATCGATTCCTACGCGATATAAACTATAGAAGTAACCATAAATCGTGGGAGTGAGATCCTCGGCGAATGTAATGTTTACATTAGCTAACATGAACCAAAGGTTTCGATTTGTATCCAAGTAAAGATCTATTCCATAAGTGAGATCACTGAATAATGTGGCCACATTCTGCTCTGTTAGATGGGTATTTGTATTCCAACAGTTAATATTATTAGTAACTATATGGGCGAAGAAGAGAACCTGAGTGATTTCATCATAGAACATTGCCACTATACTATCCGGATTAACGTAACCAACATAATAAAAGTCTGGCGATGTTGAACTTCCCGGTGCCAGAGACTGATCTCGAAGGATTTCCGAATTAGTCTTGAATAACCCCAACCCGGATCCCGGAGCGTAGTAGACATCTTTGTATGTGTATTCCGTTCTTCCGCCCACTGCAATGGCCAGGATTCCAAAATTAAAAGGATTTGTAGGTGGAGCGTCGTATAAATATGGTTCCGCGGCACTTGGATAGAATGTTTCGTGCTTAAAATACCAGAATTTTCTCTTCACATTATCATACACAATATACTTGTTATCTCTGCTATTCACAATGTACACGGCGAATTCATTGCACGACCCGTAGACATCAACTGTGAAATCGAGCCCAGTTGCGTCATTGCTCACGCTATCGGGGATAGTTAGCTTGAGTGCTGGCACTCTGTCTTCAGAGATCTCACCGCAGCCAAAAATGTCGAAAGCCCAGAAAACGGGTCGACGAATTACAATATTGCCTTCGGGATACTCTAAAGTACCCAGATCCATGAAGAATAGACGGGAGCATTGATCCACTGTAAATGCATTGTAGACCGAAACGAAGTGAAAAACGTCTCGAGGAGGTTTGCTTGGTGGCTTTGTCGGTTTAGGAGTTGTCGTAGCTTCTGGACGCTTTGTGAATTTGTAGGTTGGTCTCGTTTGTCTGTAAGTTGTTGTTCTAATCGTTGGCTTAGTGGGCGTCTTAGTTGTGGGTGGAGTTGTCGGTTTTTTGATCGGTGGGCTGCAAAGCATTACAAGTTTATCAATAAACATATAAAAGAGGTTTTTTTCACTGCATAAACTTACGTATAATAGACATGATGAGTTTCACCATGGTAATTACCATGACTTGGTTTACTATGACCATAATTTGTGTTGGGTTTGTAATATTCTTGTGGATTTCCATAAGAAGGCTTGGGTCTTTTGTGTCTGAACTCATCATAATCATCATATTCTCTCCCCTCGCTTGGATTCTCACTAATATCTCGTTTTACTTTGTATGAATTTGGATAAATGTTGACTTCATCTTCATCTTCTTGAAGATCGTTGACACCAAACCAACCCTAAGCAAAATATTTACAATAAAATGTGTATAACTCTTCGATGCTGGACTGATTACTCACTGGCACATAGTTGTCTTCACATGTGGGAAAACAGTTGAGTGGAGGTGAAGACTTTTGTGGATAGTCCTTGATTTTGAAGTATGCTACGGTGGCTGGATTTCCTGGCGCTCTTCTGGGAAGTCCTAAATAAAAGCACTTAGCCGATGTGTGATAGCCAAAGGAAACTGGAGTGACACTGGTGCTCTTGTAGTATTGATATCCGCCCACTTTCGTCAATGCTTTTTCAACAAAATCATCACATACACATGTGAATATGTCATGCCCTTTGTAACTTTACAATCACAACTCACGATCGTGTGGAAGAGACGAGAACTTAAACACATCCCAAGAAGAAACATGTTGAACTCCGGCTGATGCCAATAAAATGTTAACTTTAGTGGTGCCCAAAAGAAATGTGACCAAAATAAGTGTAATAAATTCCATTTCCATCGAATTTTATTATTTCGCTTCTTACTTTCCTTTCACACCATTGGACACTGCTATACTGACTATTCAAGGAATTGGACAGATACTTTATATGGTCAAAAGAAATGAAGAAAATATATGTATATCAAATTAGTGAATTAAGTTTATTGACCTCTGAAATATTTCTTGTAATATTAATATTCTCTGGCGAGAAAACCTGTTCAGCTTGTTGATGAATATTTTGTGAATTTTATCATATATTCAGAAGAACAGATACAGATTTTACATAGATATATGAAAATCTTTACTCGCAATCAGATCCTCGCACAAGATCAACAAGCTTTGTACGATAAACGCGATAATAGTAATCACTAACACTCGCTTTATCTTTATACTTATTGTAGTCGATTTCCAAATTTCGGAACATGAGCCATTGATGTCCATCGCTATCACTGCAAGTGTCTACTCCATATTGAAGATCACTAAACAACGTGACAACATTCTCTTCTATGAGTGGCTTATTAATATTCCAGCAGGTGAATCTGTTCGTCACCCAGGAAATACTAAAAAGTGATTGAACAGAATCATCGTAATCAAAAGTTGCCTGATTTTCTGGGCCGCGATAGCCAAGAAATTCAAAGTATGATGACGATGGGTCTCCGGGAGACAATTGCTTATCTCTGAGGACTTCAGTGCCAGTCCTGAAGAGACCATAGCTGGATCCTGGAGCGTAAAAGACCTCTCTGTTGGTATATTTTGTCGAGCGACCCAAAGCCAAGCTGAAAACACCCGAATTGAATGGATCCTGAGGCGGGAGATTATTGTCTGAAATATAAGCTCTCTCTGCTCCTGGCTGGAATGTATCGTGTTCGAAGTACCAGAAGTACTTCTTCACATTGTCGTATACGACGATCCTATTATCCTTGACGTTAGCAATATATATGTAAAATTCATTACAGGATCCATAAGTGTCTACTAC